AGTGCCAACTCCAGCTCCAACTCCAGCTCCAACTCCAGCACCCCCAGAACCAGAAACCGGTACAGGAGCAGGCGCCGCACCAACCTCTCGAGAGCTAGCACCAGCGGCACGCTGCGAGGAGGACTGTGGGGAGGGAGGCTGTACCGGAGGGGCTACCGAAGGAGGAGGGGTAGCCTGGGACACACCTGACGGGGCTGGACCAGGGGGGGGAGGCTGTACCGGGGGAGCAGGAGGGGGAACGGCAGTCAGGAAGAGGGGGGGAGGAGGAACCGGGAGACCTCGACTGGGGTACCTGACGTAGTACGGAGTGGACTCCTCGAAACGGACGTCACGGGAGTCAAAGAACCGGTGAGAGGGAGGGTGGTAAAAGGTGAAGTCAGAGGAGTCCTCAGGGAAACCAAGGAAGACACAGGGGACGGCACGAGGCGAGAGCTTGTCCGCGGAGGTGTCGCGGACAAGAGCCAAGCACCCCCAGACACGAAACCGCGACGCAACACCAGGGGACCCTGTCCAAAGACTGGTCGGTGAAACCTCTGGTCGAGAGACACGTGGCCAGAGGTTCAGCTGGTGCGCGGCGTACCTGACCGCGTAGGGCCACAGAAAATGGGGGGCACAGGCGTGAGTCAGGGAGGTGCGGGCGATCTCCATGACCAGGCCTATGCGGCGCTCAGCAACCCCATTCTGTTGTGGGGACTCTGGAAGCGTCCAGGACTGACGAATGCCCTGCTCGCGACAGAATCCAGCGAGAATGCCGGAGCGAAACTCACCCCCACGGTCGGAGTGGAGACAGCTGACACGACGACCACGAGTGTCCTCAGTGGTGAGCAACCACCTGATCAGCGTAGAAGTCACCTCAGACTTCTTCGCCAGAGGGAACACTGTGGTGTAGCGGGAGAAGTCTTCAACGACCACCAGAAAGTAACGCTCACGCTCAGGGCCTACACGAGGGGCTGGGCCCCAGACGTCCAAGTGAAGCGTCTCAAAAGGCTCGGTGGCCGGACGAAGGGAGGAGGAGTGAGGGGTGGCGCGCAGCCTACCCTCGACGCAGGGACGACACGGCGGCGCAGGCAAAGGCGGCAGCGACGGCAAGACACGTGGGAGGCCTAGGACAAGACGCTGACTAGACATAGCGCGCAGACGTGGAAGGGACGGGTGCCCCATCCGGTGGTGCCACAGAACGGTGGGGTGGGCAAGCGACCGGCAGGAGCACGACGCAGCGACTGGAACAGACGTAGGAACCTGACACGACATTGACACCTGGGGGGACGTAGCAACCTGGTGAGACGCGGGGACCCGAACGGGGGGGGGAACCGGGGGCAGTGGCAGTAGGGGGGGCTGCTGGTGCGGCCGCTAGTGCTGCTGCTGCTGCTGCTGCTGCGGCTGCTGCTGCTGCTGCGGCTGCTGCTGCTGCCGCGGCTGCTGCTGCGGCGCACGCGGGCCAGTGTGAAGAGTGTAGAGACCCGAGCCCGGCTCAGTAGTAAAGGTAGCAAGAGGCTGGTAAGAGTCTCCGTCAACACACCCCGCAGTCTCTCCAGAAGGCTCAAACCACACACCCACGTGCTGACTCACGAGGGGTCGCACGCCCACCAAGTTCCGGGAGAACGAGGGGACGTGAAACCCAGTGAGAGACCCGGAGGGAGCAGCAGGAGACGGTAAAGTGGTAGTGTGACGTGTAGTGACTGGTCCCGTAGTGGGATCAGCCAACGCTACAGAAACAGGCGCAGGAAGTGGTGTAAGTGTCGTGCTGTCCCGAAAGAAGCAGTGGGAGGCTCCAGAGTCCAGTGTGAACGACAGCGAAGCGTCCTCTGAGGTAGTCGCTGGTGTAGAGTCTACACAAGTACCTACACTAGCAACAGGCAACTGAGCAAGACTAGCACCTAAGCTAACAACACCAGAGTAAACAGAGTCAGAAACACTAGAGTCAACAACAGCATACATAGCATGAGGAGCACTAATCAGATCAACTAACTGCTCAGCAGACATGCCCCACAGAGCGGAGCGGTAGCGCTGAACCAGAGGAAGCCAGTCAGGAGCAGGACCGCCAACCCCGTAGGTCAACCGGACCGTGTCAGTGAGCTGAGCAAAACACTGACCAGGGGGGTGAAAGCGGCCACAAGGGTGGCCCCGACGAGGACCTGTCTGAACCTGGTAGGGGCAGGGAGGGTAAGCAGCACCGCGCTGGGGCTGACGCAGCCCCGACCCCGGAGCCAGCTGCTGACGCTGCTGAAGGTGCTGAGGCTGCTGGGAGGAAAGGGGCTGCTGCTGCTGCTGAAGGTGCTGCTGACGCTGAGCGTGGTACCACGCCGCTGCTCCACCTAGCGGGGCCGGCAGTACAGGAGGCGACTGACGAGCTCGAGGGTCGCCGCCACCAGCAGGTGCAGTGGAGTCACCAGGCGCTGCACGAGGGGTCTCTCCAGACGCTGCACTCCCACCACCGCCAGTCGCAACAGCACCCCCACTACCTCCGCTACCTCCGCCTCCACCTCCACCGGAACCACCTTTCTTGCCCCCCCTGCCGCGGGACCGCGACGCAGTCGTAACAGCAGCCGCAGTCGCGTCAGTAGCGGCAGTGGCAAGAGAGGCAGTAAAGGTGGGTAACTGCGGGACTGTGCACCCGTGGAAGAGTGGGGGGGACACAGTACCAGAGGCGGCAGCTACCGAACGAAGGTTGCTCTCGACGTTCTTGAGTGCAGACTCAAGGACCTCGATAGTCAGCTCACTAGGGTGCTTCAGCAGAAGCGCGTCACGAACGGAGGCAAGGCGGTCAGGGAGGCTAGTGGCGATGAAATAGACAATAATCGCCATGGGGGGAGGAAGCAGTGCAAGCTGTGCCTCAGTGCAAGCAGCGCGGTAACTAGCGTCGAGCGAGCGGAGGTGAGCGATCAAGTCAGCAGAGCGCTCAAACGAGGCAAGATCAGGAAACAAGAACGGGAGGAAAAGACGGCCGAGAGAGACAGTAGCGGGAGTAGAGTAGCGGGCCTTAATCGCAGTGAGGTACGCAGCAGCGGTGCGAACCTGAGTAAAGTGGACCTCCTCGGACTCAGGGAGGAGGCTGCTGAGTGCGATGCAGGCCGCAGCGTCACGCGACGTCCAAGCCGTCCGGTCAGCGCGCTGACGGGCAAAGCGAGCCGTAGCAGCGTCGTCAGGAGCAGGGCCTAAAGGTGTAGGCTCGGGGGGCTCGGGGAGGTCACCAGTAGCGTGTGACCAGAGGGTCTCGCCCCCCTGGACCTGACTCTCTAACAGACGACGAGCGCGAAGAAGCCAGACGGAAAAGTCAAGGGGTCTACCGTCGGCGTCGAAACGAAGAACTCGCGGAGTCGCCATAGTGAGAACCAACGCGAACGAACAGGCGAGTAACAACCGGGGGGGAAGAGGACTCAGTCGCAGCGGAAGAGCGGGCTAGGGCGACGGGCCAAGACGTAGGGTAGGGCAACGGGCCAGGGCCTAGGGTAGGGCGACGGGCCAGAGCCTAGGGAGGGCGACGGGCCAGGGCCTAGGGAGGGCGACGGGCCAGGGCCTAGGGAGGGCGACGGGCCAGGGCCTAGGGAGGGCGACGGGCCAGGGCCTAGGGAGGGCGACGCGACGGGGGAAAGGGCGGGAGCGACGCGACGGGGCAGGGCGACGCGACGGGACAGGGCGACGCGACGGGGCAGGGCGGCGCAACGGAGCAGGGCGACGGGACAGGGCAGGGCGACGCGACGGGGTAGGGCGACGCGACGGGACAGGGCGACGGGACAGGGCAGGGCGACGCGACGGGACAGGGCGACGGGACGGGGGGGGTAACAGGCGGGCGCGACGCGACGGGGGGAACGGGCGCGACGCGACGGGGGGGAACGGGCGCGACGTGACGGGGGGAACGGGCGCGACATGACGGGGGGAACGGGCGCGACGCGACGGGGGGAACGGGCGCGTCGCGACGGGGGGAACAGGCGCGACGCGACGGGGGGGAACGGGCGTGACGCGACGGGGGAGATGGCGCTGGGCTCGGTACTAGGCGCGGTAACAACGGAACTGGTACGAACGAGAGGTAGGATCAGGCTCGGGAGCTACGAACGGAGAACGGAGGAACGGGATCCCACAAGATCCTAACCTAGCTGATACCATGTCAAAATGAGGAATGGATGGTTCCATTGATGTTGGTTGGGGTAAATATAACAAACCCTAACTTCTGTACCCCCTAAGACAAACCTCACTATAGGCTACAACATTTGACAATAACCAGGACACTTCCCGTACGACCATCATTCTAAACTGTAAGATTTGCTGGTTGCACCCTACACTCCCTCGTGATGGCGTCGAAATGCTATCAGGTGTGCTATGGGCAATCGTGGTGTGCCAGGGATGTGTGATGGCCTATTGTACGGCTCTGCAGCTGGTGCTAGTTAGTGTTCTGAAGTTCCAAATTGCGCTCAATCTGGTTCAAGTTTTTGGGTGAGTGTTGGCAAGACGGGTTCTTCAGAACCCTGGGCTGCGACGGAACACAATTGTGTTCAATTTCATTGGCTCCCATCCCTTGGGGATATGTTATCATTGGTTCATTTCCTCAATTGTGTCGCGCGGACTTCAGCCTACTCTAAACTCGGTAACCCGAAAGTCATTGCGTCAAGTATTAAAAGCTTGACGCGCGCGGCTTGCAATTTGGGTCAACGGCTTTAATCAGCCCCCTGGTGATTTAGGCAGCTCAGGCAGATCAGGCACTTCAATTCAAACCCGTTCAGGCAGATCAGGCACTTCAATTTAAACCCGTTCAGGCAGATCAGGCACTTCAATTCAAACCCGTTCAGGCAGATCAGGCACTTCAATTCAAACCCGTTCAGGCAGATCAGGCACTTCAATTCAAACCCGTTCAGGCAGATCAGGCACTTCAATTCAAACCCGTTCAGGCAGATCAGGCACTTCAATTCAATCCCGTTCAGGCAGATCAGGCACTTCAATTCAAAACCGTTCAGGTAGATCAGGCACTTCAATCCAATCCCGTTCATTCATCTGAGCTGAGCGGTTTAAGCGGGGACCTTGGAGGGGATCTTCTCCTTGGCCTTGTGCAGCTGGAGCACCTTCTTCACCATCTTCCACTCGTCTGCCCAGAACGCACGCATGATTCTGTGGTGGCCATGTGTAGAGGAACAATGCAAAAAGACAAGGTAAGGGTAGGGTAGGGTAGAATCAGAAAACACTTGTTGACCATCTTCTGCTCCTCTGCCCGGAACGCACGGATGATTCTGTGGACGGGGAGCAGAGCAGAGCAGCGAGGGAGAAGGAGGGAGGGGGGGGGACTTGCGGGGGAAAACGGGGAAACGAGGGCTGAACGAAGGAGGGGCATGTGGGGAGATGGGGGGTGAGCTGATGGGGGTTGGGAGGAGGAGAGGGGCATGGATGGGGAATGAGGGGTGAATGGATGGGAGGAATCGAGGGGAGGATGGCGGGGGAAAACGCAAGGTGGATGGAGGGGGGATGAAGGGCGAATGAGCGAGGAGGCATGGATCGCAGTGAGATGAGGGGAGAGGGGAAAAATGGGGGGAGAGCGGGGAGATGAGGGGAGAGGGGGGGGATGAGTGGAGAGCGGGGAGATAAGAGGAGAACGAAGGAGGGGGGGGGGAGGGGGTGAGCAGAAAACGGGGGAGTGGGGGACGAGCTAGAAGAGGAAGGAGCGTGGGGAGGGATGGGGGGAAGGCGCGGGGAGGGGAAGGGGGAAAGACGGGGAGGGAGAGAAAGCACAGGAACGAGGGAAACATGGGGAAGGGGAGAAAGCACGGGAAAGGGGGAATCACGGGGAAGGGGAGAAAGCACGGAAAAGGGGGAATCACGGGGAAGGGGAGAAAGCACGGAAAAGGGGGAATCACGGGGAAGGGGGAAACACGGGGAAGGGGGAACCACGGGGATGGGAAGAAACCACGGGGAACAGGAGCACGGGGAACGGGAGAGAAAGCACGGGGAAGGGGGAAGCACGGGGAAGGGAAGAAGACGCGGGGAAGGAAAAGAAACACGGAGAAGTGGGAAACACGGGGAAGGAGAGAAAGCACGGGGAAGGAGAGAAAGCACGGGGAAGGAGGAATCACAGGGAAGGGGGAAACACGGGGAAGGGGGAAACACGGGGAAGTGGGAAACACGGGGAAGGGGGAAACACGGGAATGGGGAGAAAGCACGCGGCCGGTCCCCCACATCGCCTCTCACCAGTCTTTTGTCACGCACCGCAAAGGGGGAAGGGGAGAAAATGCGGAAAGGGGCTCCAAGAGGTGCCTCAGAGTAACCGCCCGCTTCCCCAGCGTCGCGTCTCGCTGCGGGAAAAGGGGCCGTTCCGCTACGTCGCTCCTCGCCAGTCCATCATCCTCTCATCCCCCTCCCAACCACCCCTTCTTCCTCTCTACTTCTTCCAGCCTGTGCAAACGCGATCCTCTGAGGGTTCATTACCGTCGCGATCTCGAATCGACGCTGCTCGTGCGTTCGCATGATGGGGATCCGAAAAAAGGCACTACTAATGCATCCGGAGATCAACGCTAGTCTTTCGTCCGCGAAGGACGCTATCTTATCCGCAATACACTAGTACAACAAACGTCAGAACTTACAACTATTGCCAACCGTACCGATATCAGAACCGCGCAACTTACGCCACGTGATTAAGATCCAATGCAGAACCGCGCCACGTTACGCCGCGAACTTGTGATAGTTACGGTACTAGAGGTGCGAAGCACCCCTGCTAACGTGACTGTCATTAACTACGGTCACCACTGACATTAGACTCGCGTACTAACGGAATGAAATGCTAACCTTATAACTGACTAACGCTTACATCTGCCATAATCGACAGCCAATATTGGATGGTAAAAATATGCAACGCGGAACTAATCCCGTCTGACTAGATACGACAGGACGCAATTATGGGAGTTAGGAATGACGGAACGAGGCAAGGAAGATAGAGGATCGTGAGGTAAGGAAGGTATGGTAAGAGGATCGCGAGGTAAACGAATGTGAGGTGTTGTTGATAAGGTTGTGCTGGATGTGCCACGATGGCAGAAACGCCATCTCATTCCTATTCGCTCGCGCAACTCGTTTTTCTTGCAATTTCAGCTGCCCAACTCCGGTTCCCGAGTAGCAAAACTGGTTGCGAGCGCAGCTGAATACTTGCTTGTTCAATCGCGCACAAATTTCTGGACCATCCCAACCAACGCCGTCCCGCACCTCACGCAAGAAATTTTAGTTGGGAAAAGGGAATAGTTACTAAATGTCACAGCTCCTAACCGGTTCCAGCCTGCCCTAAGTCCATCCGTGCCAAACGTATTTCATCCATCATCCATGCCTGGGTGGATGCCAAAACTCTACAACATATATACGCGCCATCAACTGTTTCGATTGCAACAAACCATACCAATTGAATCTCAACCAAACAGCAAAATGTAAACAGGGTGTGAATCAAAGGTGAACAGTCCAACTTGACAACAATTGTGGGGAGTGTTTCAAACACAGTCAAGCACTTTAGATCTGTGTAGGTATTGGATCCGCTCGTACAGCGTACACCAATTGGGCCGCCACAATCTCTGCTGATCGTATTTCCCTCCTGAAGCATGCTGGACTCTGCCGTCATGGACGGGGAAGTTACCTGTTGCTCGGCAATTCGCTAAAGCATGACCCCAGCTTCTCCTTCTGGCAGATGATGATTTTACACCTCCTCCATCGCTCCTCTCTCTCTACCCGCTGCTTGTGTCAGACCCAACCCACAAGGATTTTCACTTCCCTCCCATCTCTTCTGCCAGCCGCCTCCCAGCGATTATAGCGGCTCAATTCAGCAGCACGCTTCGGGAAACGGATCGCGGCGGCTGGACGAGCGGAAGCATTATAGTACACGTCACTAGATTCTCGAATCTTGTGTTTCAAACCGTGTTTTTTTCCTGGCCGACGTGTCCCAAATTGAGGACATCAATTTTTGTTGCACATTAGGCGGTCCAATTAGACGCTGGGTACATTTGGCGGTCCAGTCAGAGCGGGGTTCATCTTGTCGGCGATTTTTTTCTGAACCATCCACCATTCTCCACGGTGGCACGTTTTGGGTGAAAGAAGCCGTCCTGCTCTAAGTGACGCCACAGAATTAACTTGGCGAGTTAGAGGCAGAGCCTAGGATCAATCCGACGGGCTCGGAGCAAGGAATCCGTAGCAACTTAGATCACTGAAATCGCCCAAGTAACGAGAGAGCAATTGTATATTATGCAAGAGTGGGTACACAAGTCGTCAATGGAATGAACTCTCTGTTTTGCTCTCTGGATTTATAACTAAAACACACATGCAGAAATGTAACATCGAACCGCGCGCGACTCGCCAGAAATTCGGACTGAGGATCGCGTCCAATTTCCGTGAATCCCGCGTTCACATTTTCGGACTTCGCCAGGTTCGTTTCTTCACGCCGACAATCGTGTGTTACAAGGAACAATAGCGAGTCTAGCGAAATGTTCCTAATATTCGCTTGCGCTCTCACTATTTTCGTGCATGCTTTTGGGGCTGCCAAGTGTCGCCCTCACAAAAGTTCGGACCCAACCGAGGAAAGTTCGGTTGCGTGGCGACGCGGACAATCCGCCATGACTCCAACCTTCCAAGAACAAACGCGCCCTTGGTCCGAGTCAAGGGAGGTCTTCGCGTGGGGGGCAATCCCGTCCCCCACACTTCCAACATTTGGACCACCAAGCGAGCAAGGCGGATTTTCAACGGTTCACCGTTTTTCACCGAGTAGCTCATCCCAACGGTCCGTAGTCAGACATTCCACGCATCCTCAGGCTCACGTCACATTCCAGCTCTTCTTCTTGGAATTTCAGTTTATTTCTGCAGCCACCTAGGCGTTTTGCTAGTGAGCTTGGCTTCCGATCGCTCTACCAGTTCGAATCATCACCATCTTCTACCGTCGACACCGTTCAGCCAGGCCTGGATCGTATGGTCGGCTCGCGGAGCTTCAGAACCTCGACCGTCAGAGTTGCGAGTCAACTTCGCTTGTCGTCGTTTCTTACATCAGGTACAACGACCAACCTTATCACGCTCTCGTACCAGCGACTTGATTTCGTCGTTTCTTGATTTCGACCTTCAGTTTATTTCGACTCCGATTCTGACAATGGTTCTCATTGTTCTATTATGCGCAGGACGCCATGGTAAGCATCGGATCGTCGTGGATCCGCATCTCTTCATCAACCTCTTCGCGACGCTGGCTAAAGCGACACCGATCTCCCCGAATTGTGACGGTGAAGGTTGATTGTATCACCTTGCACCACCCTCACCACAGAGCCTCCTCCCTGGTTAAGGTTTGGTAAAGGTTTGGTACAGGTTCGGTAAAGGTTCTCAGGAGGTATTTGGTTGGTATTGGCTCAGTGGTGGGGCAGCAAATGTTTCGTCCACGTTTGCAAAGTTTTCATTTCCTTAGCATCATTTCTTCACTTCCGTCTACTAGCATTGTTCTTTCTTACACTTGCAGATTTTAATGGAGTCGGCTACGCGTATTTTCGAAGATTTCAGATGAGCAACGGCCTTCGAAACAACAGAGGAGCATCTCCACGAATGAAGGTTGAAAGTATCAACCTCACACTCCACATTGCACAGAGCCACCCCCTGGTTAAGGTTAGGTACAGGTTGAGGTGTGGTAAAGGTCCCGCTGAAGTTTTTTTCGGTTGGTATTTGGCTCAGCAACACATTTTTTTTTTCCACGCTTCTTTTCGTTTTGCATGCTTCTATGCCCGACCTTTACTAATTCAAATTATTTCTGTTTATGCAGGTTCTATTGAGGGTCTTCTGCGGTCTTCCAAGGATTTCCGAGGAGCAACACCCTTTGGCGGCCTTCCATGCTTTGCGGACAACAGAGGAGCAGCTCCATTAGTGAAGGTTGAACGTATCAGCCCCTCCTTCACACTCCAAAGAGCCACCCCCGGTTGAGGTTAGGTACAGGTTGAGGTGTGGTAAAGGTCCCCCTGAAGGTTTTTCGGTTGGTATTTGGCTCTGTTTTTCCACGCTTTTTTTCGTTTTGCATGCTTTCTTTAGCCCGACCTTTACTAATTCTTGTTTATTTCTTTACTCGCAGGTTCTATTTGAGGGTCCACTGCGTTCTTCAAATGGTGGCCTTCCATGCTTCATGGCGGGCAGCAGAAGAGGACTTCACGGCTGGTGAAGATGAAGGTTGAAGTATCAACCACACACACCCTCCACGCTCCTCAGAGCCACCCCCCTTGGTTCAGGTTGAGGTTATGGTAAAGGTCGAGGGTTGTAAAGGTGGTAAAGGTCCCCGTAAGGTATTTTGGTTGGTATTGGCTCTGCAGGCAGCACACACTTGCACCACCGCTCATTTCTGCATGTTTTTTTCACTTCTGTTTACTTAGTTCCCTTGATCTCTTGCAGGTTATATATATTTTTTTAAGGCGGGGTGAACGTACCTGCCAACAGCACTTGGCAGGTGCCTTCTCTTTCTCCACCAGCAGTAAGTTTCGCTCATCATTTTAATCACTTGCTGCATGTTGGTACGTTTTCTTACATTGACTCGGCCATCTAACTTGGTTTTTTTCTTAGATTGGCAGGTTCCTTCGTCAATGGATTTTCAGCATGCTCAAGAATCAAGATCCATGGAAGCACCATGGCCTTGTTTTCTGAGGCGCCTCAAGGCTCACCTGTGGCAAGATAAGTACCAACTCCAGCCTTTTCCTTTGCTTTCTCGCTCCAATGCCCGTCCACTGCTTACTCCAAGCTTCTTAATTCCTTGTTTTTAGTTTCATATTGTGCTTCTACTCGTCATTGGCTTGACTTCTTTTGTTTCGCCTCATGGCAGGTTCTCCAAGCGCCATGTGCACACTATAGACCCCCAAGGCCTTGCGCACCGCGCTACAGTCCAGCAAGGCCAAGATCCCTTGAAGCACCATGGCCTGCTGAGACGCGTCAAGGCTCAACTGTGGCAAGATAAGTTACCAACTCCAGCCTTTTCCTTTATTTTGCAGTAACTATCTTCTGAATCTTTTAATTTCTGATTTTCTTCAATCCATGTTGCATTTTATCTGTTCTTTTCTTTTCGATCCTGTACTAGTGTGTGCCTTTCTCCACTTCTGTCTGCAGGTGCCTTCATGGTGTCTGTGGATGTGGCGACGTGGCCAGTGCACGAGATGGGGGTGAAGCTTTTGAGCATTGGCTGGGGACTCGATTCCGGGCCAAACCGGACTGGTTTTGTCCCCTCCCACCCCCACCAAGTGACAAAGCTGTCTGGCCAGCAGTGGTGTCATTTGGTGGAGGTGGGGGTGGGCAGAGCCAGTCCCTAGTAGGGCACCCGCACGTCTTGGTCCTGGCAATGCTCAAGGCCCACCATCCCTCTCTGCCTGTGCGGTGCACTGCCAGTCCATGCTGGGGTGGGCATGGATGGCATGGCATCCTGTCACTGAAGCCAGTCCACTTTCACTGGCTAGCTTGACTTCCGTAGTCCCCAGAGGACATGTAAACATGTGGTTGATAGGAGTAGATGCAATCAACTACAGTTGCTGAGTGTACCTCAGATATTATGAGATTGTAATGCTTTTTTAAGCAGAGCAGAGAGTGCCTTGCACTTTGGAAATACTGAACCAGTAGTTACTGATAGGTACGGTATAATGAAGTATTCTGACTGAGGATGGTGAGGTATGGTAAGGTACACCCACCATACAACCAAACCAAGGCAAACTAATCACCCAACAAAGGAAGCAGGCTTGCCTTGTTAGATACAGGTACATACACCACTGCCATTCCATGGCGACCACTTGTTCAGATATGGTATTGATGATGTCCGTTAGTGATGATGCACTGTCCTGTCCAGTGCTATGGTACCGTCACCCCCCGGATATAAGCGCCACCCTAGGATAAGCGCCTGGCGCTTCTAATTGGCATATGGCGCTTATATCCCCTCCTCGATTATAAGCGCATACCCTAGAGTCGTACGGATTATAGCCGCATACCTGTACCTTACACATTATAACTGCCACTTTTTTTTTTAAAAAAAATTCTACACGCTTCACTAACCACATTAACATTGTATATTTTCATCTAATTAATTACAAAGTCAATTTGTCTAAAGTTTTTTCTAATTACAGTTCTAAATCTACCTACGAGTCTCACAGGCTACAACAATTTCTAGATCTACGTAATCTAGTCATCAGCTGCGGTAGGATCATCCGGGTCGGCCTCAGAGTCCGACTCTGGTTCTTCTACGTTGTTGCAGAAAAAGCCATCTGCTGCAATGTCGTCGTCGATGTCTATTTCGTCGCCCTCAAGCTCGTCGCGCCTGTGTTGCAGGCACATCTTGTCCTGGGACCCATCCAGGGCGTTACTAATGCCACAGGTGAGGAAAGCCCGTTGAATCAAGTCCCTGGGCACGGCCTTCCAAGCCGCTGATATCCACTTGAGCGTTAGCTCGGGTGGTGGCTTCTTGATGTTGCCTGCCATAAAATTTAAACAATCAAAAGTCAGCCACCGCTACAAACTGTTAAAGCAGCACACGCATGGCCTGCCTCTCTCACCTTTCTTTGTCAAGGTGTCGACCCCCTCGCTCTCGAACCACTCCTGGTAGAGCTGGCGAACGGATGCCTTGAAGGAGCGATTCACCGCGACGTCCAGAGGTTGAATCTCCGAGGTGCAGCCAGCTGGGATAACGGGAGGGACGATGTTCAGCTCCCCGAACTTCTTCTTCACCTCCGCAGTCAGGTGCCCGCGGTACGAATCCAAGACGAGCATCGCTTTGCGGGGCCTCACTCCGAACTTGGGGTGGACGAACGGCTTCACTGCCCCGTCGAGCCACTCGATGACTCCGTCCGCGTCCATCCAACCGTTGGGATGGACGGACACCGTAACATCTGCACAGCCATAAACGCACGTACAACATCAGTAGACATAGAAAAAAAAAAAACATGCAGCAGTGGGTGTTAATGCTCACCTGAAGGGAAATCCCCTTTAGGCAGGGTCTTCCGTTTGAAGAAGACCCACGGCTTCAGCTTCTCACCGCTGGCAGTGCAGGCGAGCATCACCGTAACTCGCTCCTTCTGATAGCCGCCGCTGCGGATAGGCACAGAGCGCAGACCCACCTCCTCGACTGTGCGTTCGGCAGGCATCTCGAGCCACAGTGGTGTCTGGTCCGCGTTTATTATCCACTGCGGGTCAATCTTGTATTGGCGGCGGGTGTGACGCACGAACTTCCAGAAATTCCTGACGTCAGTCTCGCAGTCTGGGAGTACGGGTGGGAGGGAAAGAGAGAAGAGAGTATTAATGACGCGTTAAAATTCAACCGTGAAACATAAAGAGACAAACAACACAAAGCAGTACACATTAAACTGCAACCATTTCCCACAAAACTCACTGGCAGCAAGCTTCTGGCCGACCCTGGTCTTCGCTCGGGTTGTCAGATTCCAACGGCGGCGAAACCGCTCAGTCCACCGCTGCGAGCCGGACCACTTTACCTGTGGGTGCAATTCTTTCATCACCTCATGCGACCACTTCTGTAGGCGAGCAATCGAGACCGCGAGACATTTTTTACGGTGGGCAAGAAACCTCCTGTAGACTTCAGCTTCCATGTCGCGATACCACGAGCTCCTTCCGCGCCCATGAAGACGCTTGCGAGCAGCATGCGCGCCCTCCAGGTCAGCCTTCCGGGTCTTCCATTCTGCGAGTGACCTTCGGGAGATGCCGGTTTGGCGAGACATCTGCCGCACGCTCATGTGCCCGGACTCAAGCTTGAGAATCCACTGCAGTTTCTCCTGCGATGTGTAAGAGTGCCGCTTGTGACTTGAAGGCTTGTGCCTGGGGGAGGGAGGACGGGCATCGCGATTCTCGCGAGAAGGGTGGGGCCGTTTCTTATTGGGGGGGGGGAAGGTGGGAATAGGCAGGTGCTCTGGAAGACCGTCGGCAGCCCAAAACTCCACGTCATCCTCCGCACCAGTCGCGGATTCGTCCAACGGGCAATCAGCCGGGGATCCCCAGCGTGGCGACGGTGCGGAGGAAGACGATGCGCCACCGGCGCGGTCGGGCTCGGACAGGTACGCGTCAAACGCCGAGTAGCCAGGAGGGAGGAGAAGCTGCAGGACCCCCTGACGTGGAGCACAAAACACAGGCGGGTCAGGAGGGGACGGAGGAGCTGGAGGAACCGGAGGCGCCGGGGGAGCGGGAGGTGCAGGAGGAGTTGGGGGAGTGGGAGGAACGGGAGGAGCTACTGGTTGACACGGAGGGACGGGCGCAGGGCGCGACTGCCATTGAGAGTAGTCACAGGTGTCTCGGCGGGTGTTTTCTCTGGCAGCAGGATGGCGGCGGAACAAGAAATGCGTGCCTGGAAGGCCCGCCATGGCCACGGCAGGCCAAACGAACAAAGAAACTGAAGGCAAAAGTCGAGAATGAGGGCTGTATGAAGCCCTCGCCCGAGACCCCTTCATTTTCGCGGCCCGGCCTCCTCTGCGGGAAAAGGGTGGCCCCAGTCAAGATTCCCCGCAGAGGAGCTGAGCTGGGCAGCTCCTTGCCTCGGTGGCGGGGAATTTTGCTGTTAATGGGCACACCGTGGCTGAACCACGACGTGCCCACGATCGCATGCAACCCTGATTGGGCCGCTGTGATGCGAGGTACGTGTGCACTGGCATGGGCCAGGTTCACGTTCGATGAACCTGGCCTGGCCAACAAGGCGTGGAAGGCGTGAAGCCACGCCTTGTTGGCTGTTTCACACGCAATGCATGCACAGTTTCGAACGTTCTCGACCCAGGTGAATCCGCGTTTGAGAATGCTTCGATTTGGTATATTAAAAAACAAATTTCAAATTTGACAAATTATAAACGCCGGCGCTTATAAATTTACTATATTATAAGCCCACCCCCTCAAAAAAACATGTTATATTATAGCCCCCCATGGGGGTATATCCGGGGGGTGACGGTAGTTTCGGCAGATTTCACACGAGCATAAACTAACTCAGTCTTCATACCACGGTATAATTTACAGTACGGTACTTCCAGCCAAACATATGGCAAGGTTCCTAACCCACAGAGGTAGTTGCATAACACACTCTTAATCTGCACCTGAGCGATAGTTATGATGGTGTGGGGATAGCCCGCAAGAAGATGCGGGAAAGAACAGTGAGGGAAATACTCACTGTCGGTCATGGGAGGACGGCGAGGGGGAGGATGTGGTGCACAGTAGCTTCCATGCTCTTGAACTCTTGTTTCTTGTCAGTCCCTGTCACCACCACTGTATGCATGTGTGGGCCCTGCACTCCCGCCAGGTTAGCTGCCTGGCTGGCTAGATGCTTGGCTAATAGGCTGGTACGCTGGCTGACTGGTAGGCTGGCTAGCTCGTTGCTTGAAGGCACGAGAGCCGTGGGTGCACACATGAATGGCGGCTTGGCCCGGAGCAAAAAGCTCGCAGAGATACCGTCACCCCCCGGATATAAGCGCCACCCTAGGATAAGCGCCTGGCGCTTCTAATTGGCATATGGCGCTTATATCCCCTCCTCGATTATAAGCGCACCCCCTGAAAAAACTAGTTTTATTATAAGCGCACGTAAACTTTAAAATTTGAAATGTGTACAAAACGTTGTAATGATTTTTACTTTAGCAGGCAGATATGTTGCAGATTCGGTTCCCTTCACATTCGGACCCTGCACTGGATGCGGGTCCAGTCAGCAGGAGCTGTCAGGAGCTGGATGTGAGTCAGATTGGGTGTGTCTCCCAGCGCGCGCGAGAATTTCACAGACGACCCCATGTAAATTCGACTCGATTGAAAGGGCAAGCACGAGACCTACAGTTTGGTGTTAAAAAATAAAAAAAATATGAATGTCATTTTATAAACGCCGGCGCTTATAAATTTACTCGATTATAAGCCCACCCCCTTGAAAAAACCTGTTTTATTATTGCCCCCCATGGGGGTATATCCGGGGGGTGACGGTACTTGTTCAGTCACAAGTGGAGGAGGATGCAACGATACAGTTTAACTGATATATGGTATTAAGTTGCTTGTTTCCATGCTCTGGTAGCATTGCTACTGGAGGTTACTGCTCTTGTTGCAGCAGCAGCATTGCGAGAACAAGTGTGTGTATTTACCCCTGACCATTCCTGTACTGCACGAAATGTGAGCTGCACTACCCTTGGTTCTCATTAGCTACTTGCTGCTGCTGCTGCTGCTGCGGCGGCGGCGGCGGCTGCTGCTGCTCCAGCAATGCTACTGGCGCTCCCACCTGGTGCTGACTCTGAATCCCAAGCACCGCATCCTCCTCCCCCTCCTGCCCCTCGCTCTCGCCGCTCCGCTGTGTGCGCACGTGCTGCAGCTGCTGCCAGCGCTGTAAGCACGCGTGGAGCGGCACGAAGCGCGCGATGGGCAGCAGGCGGTACGCCAGCAGAAGGTCGTTGTCTGCATCGTGCACCGGCAGGGTGTACCTGGGGAAGGGCAGGGCGTCACACAGGTGGGTCGGAGCGAGGCGGGGATGTCACTCAACACACGGCCTTTCTGCCAACGGGATGGGCTGGAGAGGCTGGATGTGCGGCTGTGAAGAGACTGGCATGGGCGAGTGCATGCGTGGACGGGGAAGCTGTCCTGAAGGAAGGAACGACCCCGTCACCTGCGGTTTGGCAGTGACATGCGATGTGAGAGATACAGTGCTAGGGGATGCAACGTGATGGGAGGAGAGGGAGCGGGCGAGGGAGCGTACTTGACAAAGGTGTGCTGCAGGCTGGCCGGTCCTCGCATGGGCGACTCACTGCACCTGCTGCAGCGCCTCGTGCCTGCACCACACGAGTGACATGAAGCACAAAGAGAGGAGGAGCAGGAGAGGGGGAGGGATGAAGGGGCCTGTTGGAGGGGAGTCAGGGGAGCATGAGTTTATGCGTGACAGGCCGGGCACGTGGCAGCGGGCAGTGTGAGAAGGACAAGAGCGGTGATGCGCATGCATGCAGTGGGCTGGGGAGAGCACACACCGTTGGTGCGCACTAGTGGCGGGGGGAAGGCGGGGCAGTGGTGGTCCACCAACGCCTGCTCCATGCCCGGGGGGTGCTGTTGCGCTCACATGGGCCATGGGCGAGGGCGCGGGGAATGAGAAAGGAAGAACATCACATGGGGAGGGAAGGGCAGATGTGGGCGTGGAAATGAGAAGGACGGTGAGGAGCGGAAGGAGGTTGGGACGAAGTGCAAGGGGATGAAGTGCAAGGGGTGCAAGGGGAGGAACTGGGCACCTTGAGCACGTGGTAGTAGGAGGTGAGGCGGATGGCGCGGTAGAGGATGCGGAAGAACTTGTGCTCCTGGATCTGAGGCCCGCATGGCATGGCATGGCATGGCATGGCATGGCATGGCGCACATGGGAGGGCAGTGAGCACGCAAGTGGAGGGCGGAGGAGCCTCTGGCACATGCACATGGAAAGCATGCACGCATGAGGTGAACAGATGGACTACACCAGCTGGTACACTGCAGCCGGCACTCATGCAACTGCAACGGCACGGGCATCATGGAGCATGCGTGCGCGGCACAGGCCGAGTGCAAGCACACGCACCCCCGGTCGGCGCGCCATGGAGTTGTAGACGACTGGCAGCGGCACCAGGCTCACCTCGCCCCCCATGTCGCCCACTTGCTGCCTCTCACACAATTGCATCCACAAACACACGGATACGCACATAGCAGCAGCGACCAGGGTAGGGCAGGAAAGCAGGGAGGGAGAGATGGAGGGGAGTGATGAGAAGGCAGGGAGGGATTGGTGGACTGTAAGTGGCACGGTGATGAGAGGGGTCACACAGTGTGATGCAGAGTGGGGTGGTGAGATGGGCGGAGCACACACCGCACATTGCCATGCTGAAACCGCCTACGAGCACGAGGCACAGGCGAGCCCCCCAAGGGGTGGGCGCATAATGTGCTGGGCGTTCACTGTCACCTGGGCAAGCTGGTGCAGCACGTTGGGCGGTGCTTTGAACCACTCCAGCCAGCAGATATCCCCAAACGCCCTCAGTCGCTCCAACTCCTCCCTCTCCGCCACTGCATCGTATGCCGCACCGCTGCCGCCCCTCTCCCCGCCCTCCTCCTCCTCTTCCTCCATCTCCTCCTCCCTCTCCTCTGCACCCGCCCCTCTGCTTTCCTCCTTAGCCTGTGTGCCAAACGACTCTCCGCCACTCCTCCTCACTGCATTACCCTCTGCTCCTGCTCCTTGCAGTCTCACCTCTCCAGCACTCCCGCCTGCCCCTCCCGCTTCCTCTCCCTCTCCCCTGCTTGACCCACACGCTTGCCTGCCCTTCCCCTCGTTGTCCTTTGAAACCCCCTCGCCATCCTTCTCCTCCTGCCCCCCTTCTCTCTCGAACCCACTCCTCCCCTTTCCACTCTCACCACCAGCGTCCCCTCCTCGCCGCGTCACCTCACCGCCCACCTCGACTGCCTTCCTCTGCGGTCCGCCCTCCGCGTCCCCTCGCTGCTTGCGCTTCCTGCTGCTGCCCTCTCCCGCGCGCGCCATGGGCCAGTTGGGCAGCACCACCATGCGATACGCCAGGCTTGACAGCTTGCGACTGGGGAGGAGGAGGGGAGAGGGGGAAGGTTGGAAGGGAGAATGAGGGCGGGGTGGGCGTGGAGAGGGGAGGTGAAGGTGGGGGGGCTGTGTGCGGCAGGGCGATGGGGCGCATGGGGGGAAGGAAAAGGCTATTCGAGGGAGCGAAGGGGTGAGGCAGATAAAGGGGATGGGGGGGCGGGGGGAAGGAGGGGAAGCGGGGGAGGCCGAGGGGGAGAGCAAGGGGAGGGGGTAGGTGCACCTGTGGCCGTGTTGGAAGCGGGAGGTGAGGGTGACGAGGGGGAAGAGCACGTCGCCCGTCTCCTTGTCCTGCCATGGCATGGCGCAGCAAACGCGCGGTCAGACACGGGGAGTAAAGGAAACGAGAGCAAGAGTGGAAGCTGGCCGCACGTGCATGATAGTGCGCAAAGACACCCGCGCGCGCGTGCGTATGGTGGGGTGCGTGGCGCGCAATGTGGGGCGCGGGGGCACGCGCGCACGGGCGCAACGGGGCGCGCGGAGCGGGGGCAGCGCACCTCGAGCAGCAGGTGCCTGGCGTCCCCCCCGATGCCGTCCAGCCATATGAGCCCCAGGTCGCTGATCTGCGCGCGCACACGCAGGGCGCCATGCCATGGGGGGAAGGCGCGGGGACATGGATCGGAACGGGTTGGTGGAAGGATGGTCGGCAAAGGCAATTGTCAAGCGCCACGACTACCGCCCGCCTACCCCCCTCCCCTCCCGTTCCGCACCCTGTCTCATCCCTTCCGCCACTTCCTGCGCTCACCTGCGGCGTGCGGATCTGCCAGCAGAAGGGCATGGGCTGCGCCATGGGCGCACGCACGCGCGGAAGAACCTCTGCGAGCGGCCTACTGCGGAGATGGCGGCGGCGGGAGGGCGACGCGAGAATAGTAGGGGGGAATGTATGTAGAGACCGGGGACGCGAGTGGCTGGGACGAGAGGATTAGCGCAAGGGAAGGAGGGCAGGGGAGGGAATGGAGCGGCGAGGAGGGCGGAATTGCGGGGGAAGGGGACGGGGCAGTGAGAGCCACAGGCGCGCGCGGGGCGGCAGTAGCTGCGGGAAGGGGTGAGCGGGGTGGGGCGGGCGTGGTGCGCGCGCGAGGTTGCGGTTCCCCGTCACTCGTTGCGGCTCGGCTGTCAAGACGAACGCGGAAGAGCCGTTTTCGGGTTGTGGCACGGAATTGATCGCACTGATACTGATGTTTCAGGTTGTGCTACTGATGACTCTCTCACACTCTCTACCCAATTGGGAACACATTCTTCTGCATGCTCTTTTTCCCATTCCCCTTGAACCGCAACCAATGCCACAACACCCACTTTCTGCAGTTCACCACCCCACACACCCACCCCTGCTGCCCAGCACCGCAGCGACCGCGCTTCTCGAGACGTGCTCTGATTCCACGTGCGCATTCCCATCAATTCGCCGCTGCCAGTCGTCGCTGCGGCGCGACGGCGATCAGCGGGCAGCAAGCAGTTCGCAACGGCTCGCACACGCCCCCGCGCTTTCGCGTCGGCTCCCGCCGTGCGGTGCGCGAGAGGAGCGTGCGCGCATCGGCACCCATGCACGGCGTGCCGGCGGTGGTGACGTCGTCGCACGGCCACCGGCACGCCCCCTTCCTCGCCGCCGCGCGCCCCTCCCCCCGCTCGCTCGCCGCGCTGTGCCTGCTCGCTGTCGCCGCGCTCGCCCTCCTCGCCGCCGCCGTGCACTCGCCCCTCGCCCCCCGCCTCGCCGCACGTCGCGCGACAAGCCGGGGACGAGGTGCGATGGGGCAATGGCCGACAGCTTTGCAGCCGTCTCTTCTCTCCTCTCTCCTCTCTCTCCCCTCTTCTCCTTCTCTTTTTCACACTTCTCCATCTCTCTTCGCACTGTCTCTTTACCAACCTCGCTTTGCGTCCCATCCCTTCCCCATCGTGCTCTCACTACCTTTTTCCCCTTCCACGAGGTGCCGTCTATCTATCCCGTTCCTTGCCCGTCCTTCGTTCCTCTCCTGTCCACCTGCCACCCACCCACACCCCATGCGGCCATTCTTCCTGCCCAGGTACCACCTCCACTGCCGCAGCGCACAGCGTCGGCCCATTTGCCGATAAAACAGCCGACCGTTCAGCACCGGCAACATCACAGCCGTCCATCCTGCCTCTGCCCCTGGGTTCTCACCATGCGCGTGGAAGGCAGGTGGGCGATCCCACCTCCACTGACCCCACAAGCGATGCAGATGCAGGCAGTACGGCAAGCGCTGTGGTGGTGGCTACTGCCGGTGCTGCCACCACGGACGGCCAGTCAGTGCCACTGACAACAGCTGGTGCAGCCGCCAACGCATCAGCAGAAGCTGAGTCATCAACTGGCGCATCAGACACAGCAGAAGGTGCAGCATCACTCAGCTCTGATGGTTTCATTCATCAGTCACCCACCCAGCTCTGTTCCTTCCCACCCAAACTTCCCTTTCCCATCCCTCCCACTCATGTCCTCCATCGTCCCTCTCACCTTCCCCTCCCTCTCCCCTTCCCTGCAACACCGGCCAGCGTACGTAGCAGGGGTGCCGGAGCAGTGCAGCATGCAGCGCAGCACAGACTATGACGGGGACGCGCTCACATGGGGCCTGGACTTCCTCACCGCCTCTGCTGCCGACTGCTGTGCGCGCTGCCGTGCCATGGCTGCCACTGCTGATGCCGCCGCACACCAGGGCGGGGAGGGCGGGCAGCAGCGGTGCAACATCTGGGTGTTCTGCCCTGAGCCCGGGGGGTGCTGGTCGCCTGACATATGGGACCACAAGCACAAGGAGTGCTGGCTCAAATATGTGAGGCTTATGGGTGCGGACTGGGTGCATGCTGGATTAGGCATGTGGTAGGGGAGTGTGGTTGGTGCTTCTGAGGAGAAGGGTAGATGTCCTGTGTGCATGCTAGGCCCTCAGTTCTTGTGATTATTTCGGTGTGTGTATGCTTATCTTGTCCTAGTTCTGTCTCAGCGCCTGCTTCCCCTTGCGCATGTGCCTGCTTCCCCTTGCGCATGTGCCTGCTTCCCCTTGCGCATGTGCCTGCTTCCCCTTGCGCATGTGCCTGCTTCCCTTCCCCTTGCGCATGTGCCTGCTTCCCCTTGCGCATGTGCCTGCTTCCCCTTGCGCATGTGCCTGCTTCCCCTTGCGCATGTGCCTGCTTCCCCTTGCGCATGTGCCTGCTTCCGCTTGCGCATGTGCCTGCTTCCCCTTGCGCATGTGCCTGCTTCCCTTCCCCTTGCGCATGTGCCTGCTTCCCCTTGCGCATGTGCCTGCTTCCCTTCCCCTTGCGCATGTGCCTGCTTCCCCTTGCGCATGTGCCTGCTTCCCCTTGCGCATGTGCCTGCTTCCCCTTGCGCATGTGCCTGCTTCCCCTTGCGCATGTGCCTGCTTCCCCTTGCGCATGTGCCTGCTTCCCCTTGCGCATGTGCCTGCTTCCCCTTGCGCATGTGCCTGCTTCCCCTTGCGCATGTGCCTGTTTTGTGTGTCACAGGGAGACCCCCCCAAATTAAACTTCCAGGGTCGTTACGCTGACGAGTTTCGGGCCATGCATCCCACCGCACCTGAGGCCGTTCAGTGGGTGGCCGGCGTCATCTAAGCCTCCTCAATCTCTCCGTCCCGTGGCGTCACAGCAACCTCTTTCAGAACCATCCCGTGGTAGACTGGTCGAGATTGCTTTCATGCTCAAATTCTTTACGCTCTGAAGGAACTGCATTGGTGCCTGCCGCCAGTGATTCTTCCATGGACATCGGTTTGCCTCATATTAGGACGACGGCGAGACGGAATGGTAGTAGTTTTTCATGTATTTAGATATTACTAAAAGTAGTCATTTACTTAAGATTGCTATCACCAACTGTCATGCATGACAAGCCGAGCGTACAACGGGGTTTTCTGCCCTCCAGAAAGTCAGCATTTCAGTTGGCGCGAAGCGCAGAGCTCAGGAGTCTGTTCCCGCCCCTGGGATTCCTGCACGGACCAATCGTGGCACGACCAGAATTACTGAGCTGCATTTTGAATTTCCTCAGCGAAATTGCAGAATTCTCAGTTCCCAAGAAACGAGCCAGGCAAATGAGGTTTGCGCAGTGCAACACCAGCTATCGTGCCTTAGTCGACCCCTTCGAGCTCCCTCGAACTTGGGTGAATGTCGGATGCTTCAAAGCTAGTCTATTCTGCTTGGTGTTGCCCGAAGTTCAAACTCCGTAGATGCCATTGTGGAAAACATTCTGAGCTTCTCTTTCCGGCCAAGCGAAGCACGACTCCATGAGGTTCCGAGCCTTGAAAGCAGCTTGAGTCGCCGCCGTAGTCGATAGCTACTCCCAGCGTGTCCTGGATCCACACAACCGCTGTGACAGCAACCTGTCGTGCTTCGGCCGGGAAGTAAAGAGAGTTAGGTTTCCGTTCGACTCCTCTGATAACCTGTCTCACCCTCAACGCTTTGCAAATTCAAATTCCCCAGGTAGAAACCTGTCGTACCTAGTAAATTTCTGTCGGATCAGTGCGCTCTGTTTCCATCCCAGCGTGTGGCGCTGGAGGTTCCAATCACGCGATGGCGCGTCAAGGAGAAGCGGGATATGTTGTCACGCGGAGTGTCCATCCAAACGGCCGTCGTGACGCCGCTCAGCGGGTCCCCAGCGGCCGATCTACGCGTTTGGCTTCATCACAACATGTGCCTGCGGGTGCACAGTCACCGGCATTCGCCTTAGGACCTCCGCTCGCCAGCACGCTCAACGTGGACGGCCTTCCCGATGTTCTCAAGGCCTCGCAAAGCACTGGTCGCGCCCTCAACGATCACGTATGTGCACCTGTAAATCACCTCCCGCCTCATGGTTTCGTGTAGGCTTCAACTCAAGAGTCTTGACGTTTCTCATCCTATAATATATTCACGAGACGTCTTTATGGACTTCTTTTTGTGTGCTTCTGCCAATGTGCAGGGTGTAATTGACGCTGAGAACGGTCCAGGTCTTCTGGCTGCTCAGGGGAGGCACAAGGGCAAGAAGGAAGGCGCGACGACGCGCACGAGAGCCCTTCGGCCGCGCGCGCCGTCGAACGACGACAACATCCAGAAAGCGCAGGCCGGTGCGGGTGAGAAGGAGACGCAGGATGGTGTAACGGAAGTATGTGGTGAGGTCGGTGCGGGGTTCGAGGGCACGACGAAGATCGGACGCATCGTTCTTCCCGCACCCGCTGAGTCGCCAGATGACGTGTGGCGTTTTTCGGGCACAAGTGAAGACAGTGTTCGAGAACTGGTGAAGCAAGGCCGTGCTGCCGAGGATGCTCCAACCGTCGTTGCCGCTGAGGGCCTTGTTGCTTCTGCCGCTGCTGCGGATGCTGCTTCTGCCGGAGTGGGGGTGCACCAGGGAAGCGGTTTAAACCAATCCCTGCCGATGGATGAACCAGGAGGTTATGGAACGCGGACTGACGCCATGATCCATGCGGGAACGCCACTGAAGACGGATGCTGGCGGCCTTGAGGCGGTCGGCGAAGGGGCGGCGATGCAAGAGGAGTCAGAGGAACAGGAGCACCAGGAGGGGCATGGGGCGACGAAGAGGCGGAGGAAGAAGTCGTATTGGAGCCGCAAGAAGAGGGCACGCGGAGAGCGGAATGGAGTGGCGTCGTCTCAAACGTCTGGAGAGAGCGAGGGCAGCTCGGCGAGGGTGGGCGTGGCGCGGAATGTGCGGGAGAAGCGCGACGGCGTTGCGGAGGTTACGCAGTTCGATGACACCACGGCGGTGGGAGATGCCGATGGAGCGGTGGGAGATGCATATGGAGCGGTGGGAGATGCCGATGGAGCGGTAGGAGATGCCGATGGAGCGGTGAGAATGCAGGGGAACGAAGAGGTGTTGGAGCGAAAGCGAGGAGCACCGTTTGGAAGTAGCGCCTGGGAAGACGTCCGCCAGGATGCAGTGACTGCGCGTGTCGAGGGGTCGCACGGTGAGACAGGCGCTGAACGCACTGCTGATGACGAAGGCGGCATGCAGAAAGACGACGTTGCCGTGCTGGCGGATGCCGGTGGGCGGGTGCCAGGTTCGCGCAAGAAACGCAGGAAATTGGGTTACCGACCGTTCCTTGCTGTGAAGGTTGATGCGGGGAACGATGGCGAGGTGAAGCAGGGCGAACAGGCTATGGAAGTGCAGGGAGAGGGGGAGATAGTTAAGGGGATGGTTGAGGGGGGAGGAGAATTAGGACTGGGCAGCACGGATGTTAGAGCAGTGGATGCAGGTGCGGTACATGAGAGTCGAGGGCATAGACAAGGCACGGAGCAGGAGGAAGCGCGTGAGGGGACGGACGAGGAGGATACGAATGTGCAGGAATTGTGGGCCAGCATGGCTGGACTCGCGACAAGCGAGGCCTTGCCTGAGACTGCAGGAGAAATGCCGCTCAGTGACGGAAGTGCAGGCGAAGCTATCGGGGGATCGGCTCCTGAAGTGCAGGATAGTGACGGGTCAGGGTCATGGGGGCGACGTGAAACCAGGAGGCGGGCAACGCGGAAGGCGCCGACGCGCAGGGAGCGGAAGGGGATGGAGGGCGCGGGGCAGAGCGGTCAGAAGAGGAAGAGCCCGAGGCTGAGGTTGGGTGACGTCGTGCCTCCACCGCTGCCTTCGATTCCAGAGGAGGGAAGCGGAGAGAGGGATGGGTCTGCAGGGAGCGAACGCACACAAGGTAACGCAGGCGGGGCAGCAGGGGGAGAAGAGGATCGGACCGATACTGCAGCAGCAGAGACAATCGTTTTATCTCCTGATCTGGGTGGTGGCTACGGCAGGTACGGCGGTGAGCATGAAGAGGAGATAGGCGATGCGGGAGAAGGAGAGGGGCAGGGGGATGCGGTGGTAGGCGACACCGGGCTTCACGCGGACAGCCTTGCTGAAGCTCTTGCTGGAGGCGCGCTAGGTGAAGGTGGGGCAGGGGACTCACGCGATGGTGCTGGATCTCGAGTCGTTGGAGGGAAGAAGGGCAGGAAGAAGGGCAAGAAGGGCAAGAAGAAGGTTAAAGGGAGAAAGCCTTCACCTGCTGTGACTGCTGCTGTCGCCGATGCCGGTGCCGGCAGTGTTGCTGGCGATGCGGATGAAGCACGTGGCGAGGGCGCAGAGGGAGATGGCGTAGAGCTGGTGGTGGAGGAGGATGACGACGTGCAGGAGGTGAAGGGGTTTGCCGTGGCGGAGGAGGAGGTCTCAGATGGGGAAGACGATGCAGCAGCAGCAGCCGGAGTAGCAGCATCAGGAACAGCAGGAGTAGCAGCAGCAGGAGCAACAGCTACAGGAGTGGACGCAGCGGAAGCAGCAGCGGAGGAAGCAGCAGCGGCGGAAGCAGCAGCGGCGGAAGCAGCGGCAGCGGAAGGAGCACCAGCGGGAACAGCAGCAGCAGGAACAGCAACAGGAGCAGCAACAGGAGCAGCAGCAGCAGCAGCAGCGGCGGCAGCTGCGGCAGCGGCAGATGCAGTAGCATCAGCCGCCGAAGCAAGGGCAAGCCTGAGTGGATGGGGAGTAGAGGGTACAGGATGTGAGGCGTGTGAATTATTCAAGCAGGTCGTCCAAGTGGTGAGTTCCTTGTGCACTTGCCAGCCCCATTCCCTGCTCACCACCACCTTACGGCTCTTTCATTGTGCGGCTCTTCGACTCCCTCATTTTCCACGGCGCATTGCACGAGGGCGCTCACCGTTTGTCGTGCGTGGCTGTGCTGTGACCTGTGTGTGTGCGTGCAGTTGGAGCAGCAGAACAGGGAGCTGGAGGAGAGGAACCAACAGCTGGAGGTAGGTCCCATGCTCACTCGCGCCACTGCTCTTCCATGCGTGCCCCATGCCACCGCTGCTTGCTTGGACCCTTGTTCTTCCATGCGTGAACCATGCCCCTGCAACGCTCCTAGCTTGCCACCATCTGCTGCTATCATTGCTGCTGCTGCGGTCATTAGATGTGCTGTCATTTCAGGTGCACGGTGCACCGCAGTCATTCCGCGCCATTCTGCTGTCCCAAAGCGCCGTGTGACTAATGCCATGTCTTTGTTCCCATTCCATGCCGCTACCCCTATGTTGTGTTGCGTGGCACAGAGCGACCAGATGGAGGAGATAGACAGCGCCATTCAGCAAGTGCACGAGCGCTCGCTGCGCCACGCCCGATGTGAGCAATCCCCTGCCTTGCTGCCGCGCCCTGTGGCCTGCGTAAGGCCTCGTCTTTTCCTGCTCACATGTGCCATGTACTGTATGCCATGGGCCATGGGCCATGTGCCATGGGCCATGTGCCATGCACACGCATCCCAGACGCCACCCTCATCCCACTACCTATCTTCTTCCCCCTCTCTCTAAATTTCTCGCATCCTAATACCCCTTGTTTCCAAACTCTTGTCTCCATCCGTGCCCCCACCCCACCACCCGCGCTCCCCCTCTCTTCCCTCTCCCCTTCTCCCCCGTTCAGCGTGTAAGGCACTGTTGGCGGAGGCGCAGAGGGAGAACGCGGAGATGAGGCGCGAGTACATAGAGCGCCTGGACCTGGACGACATGCACCGCACCATGCAGTCAGTGCCTGCTCGCCCCCCGCTCACTCACCGCCCCCTCGCTCACTCGCCTCTCGTCGCTCAATGCATGCTGCACGTCTCTCAAGGCAGCACCCACCCGTCGGTTTAGCTCCTCTCATTCCCCTTTTCTTTCCGTTCCTGTGGCTTGTGGCTTCCGTTCCATCTCTGCTCCGCCACCGCCACTGAATCCCCTCTCCCACGCCCCTCCCCGTTCCACCCCTTCCAGGAGGCTGCTGGCGGATCTGAATCGCAGCAATGCCGCCATGCACCACTACCGCAGCATCTCCCTGCAGTACTGCGCGCTCTGTGAGTCATGGGCGGTAGTGGCTGCGCGTGTATGAATGGGCAGGTGGGCAATGCAGTGATTGAGACGATTGGAACAAGGGAGAGGAAAATGGCCTACTTGTATGTTTGCTTGCTGTCTTGTGCCTGTCTTTATGCGCATGCACGCATTCTCTCTGGTCGTGTGTCTATCACATGCGCAATCCATGCCTCCATCCATCCATCCATCCATCCTCCGTCCGTCCGTCCATCCGTCCACCCACCCACTCAACCCACCCATCCACTCATTGACCTTTCGATGATTGCAGATGGAGAGTTACCGGGGGGCGATGGAGAGAGTGATGAGGAGGAGGCGGATGGGGAGGAGGAGGAGGAGGATGGGGAGGAGGAGGAGGATGGAGAGGGGAAGGAGAAGGAAGGAGACAACGAGGAAGGGCGTAATCTGGAGATTCGTGAAGAGGGAAGTAAGGAGCGTGGTAGGAAAGAGGGAGCAGATGAAGAACGACAGCCACAAGATTCAAAGGAGAATAAGGAGAGCAAGGAGGCTCATGAGGCAGAGGCAGAGGCAGAGCGAGAGGACGATGAGGAGGAAGCGGAAGGTGGAGGAGGCATGGCGAGTGCGTGGAAGGGCTTGTGTGAAACGGCTCCTGGGCTTGCTGCAGCGCTGGAGTGGGTGCATGATGCCGGCAGTGAGCTCAGCCTGGCGATGCAGTGGGATGAGGGCTACGACATGCATAGCTGGGTGCTCTGCCACAAGCCCTCAGGTGCGCTCTCCCTGCGCCTGCAGCACTTTGTCTAGAGCAACCACAGCACAAGTGGTGGCACGGTGACCCAAACGTATTCACCACTATGCACACTTGTCGTATGCGACCACCTGTAGCCAATCCTGTCCCGTATGTGCACTGCCCCCTGCCATGTGAGCAGGGTTTGAGATGGTGTTTGGGCCAGCCCCTGATGCAGTCAACGAAGTGGGCCTGCCTCCCGCCTCTCCCTCCCCCATGGACCAGCGGCAGCCTCCCCCTCCTGCCGCTGCCGCTTCTGGCAGTGGTGGTGGTGATGGGGACAGCGAGGGCAGGTACGGCGAGGGAGCGGAGGAGCGGAAGGGGTTTGTGATGCGTGTGACGACCCTGGGGCGGGTGGATGAGAGCAGGGCACCCAGGTGGATGAGGGCGGCGGTGTCAGAGGATGAGGACGAGTACTGCATGTGCTGTGAGAGCAAGCTCATCCGCAACCTTAGGGCCCTGCGCAAGATCCTCCTCCAGTAACGCCCATGTGTCTGCCTGTACACCACTCTTGATGCTGTGGTTGTGCTGGGAGGAACTGCTATGATCAAGTATGTGTTACTCTTGATTTTAGTAGAGAGATGGTATGACACTAGGGTCTCACCTTTTGCTGTTCACATAACACTGTACGGTTTCCAAGAGTGATATCCATTGAACATCTTACTGAAGCTTTGTCTTTCATTTTCTGCTTCTGACCTAGATAGTTTGGGAAAGATGATTCCCTTGGTAACATAATCGGTAGACTGAGGTCCTGCACAGTCCTAACAGAGTTCACTGTTTGGTGTCACATTCTGATGGCTACCAACTAGTGTGCTACAAATTTGAATGAGTACGTTAACAAGTTGATCTTGATTTTGAATGTTTTGCTTAGTGATACATCAGCTATACGTGCACACTGACTTGCAGATATTTCAAAACTGTAACAAAAACCTGCATTAGCAGGCAATTCATTTCTCAAACATGCACTTGGTCACCAATCTATTAGCGGTTCTCCCCTCACAGCCCCAGCAGCTCCCCGTCCAGTGCGGCTGTCTTAGCCCATGACTCAAGAGCGGATGCTGCCGCAAGGAACGCCTTCTTGGCACCCTTCACGTCCGACGCTCCAGCTGGTTGGAGGAGGGGGCACAAGGACATTCAGATGAAAACGGTATGCCGCGGGCGTTGATTGGGTGTGGTGTGGACGAGGGTGTCACGTGAGGGGGAAACAAGAGATCATTTTAAGAGAACAAAGTGTGGGGTCATGAGATGTGGACAGGAGAACGAAGGAAAGTTCCAGGGAGGAGGGGCAGGGAGAGAGCAAGGGAGAGAGCAAGGGAAAGCGGCGTACCAGCGGACTGCAGGGCGGCGATGGCGGATTGGAAGTCCGCCGCTAAGGACTTCTCGGCGTCAGAGCGGCTGATCTGCAGGGGTCGCAGCACACGAGCCACGGGGGAGAGGCAAGCGAGGTGGGGAGAGAGAGGAGCAGGGGGTGGAAGGAACGTGAGTGGGCATATGGGGTAAGCATGACAGGCGACGTGATAGTGGAAGAGAGGGTAAGAACGCATGAGATGCATTGACTGGGCTGGAGAGCCATCCTTATTGGCTTGCCGTTTGCGAAAACCGACTGGAGAAGCACAGAGTCGTGGTCGAAAAACGAGGGCACGTACAATACGTGCAAATGACGACGCGTGACTCTATGAGACGAAATTGCACTCAGGTGACTTTTTAGTAGCACTTCGTGAAACACGTCCCAACTTTCAGAGCGCATTTACATTGCCAAGCTCAGCACCGGATACCAGCGAGCGAGCTTACCTTAGAGATGGCGGCGTCCGCCTTGGCCACCCATCCCGCTGACAGCTCCGCTGCCGCCGCGCTGCTGTTGCCCGCCTCCAGCGCCGCGCCCACCTTGCTTAGCCCGTACACCGCCGCCTGAATGTCGGCTGGCGAGGGGGAACGGAAGGTGGGGGGAGAGGGAGGGCAGCGCGCACGACACGGGGGAAGAAGAGAATGTGAGTCCACGGAAGATGTGATGGAGCCTGGGACAACGACTGGCTGGATTGACGGCATCAGAGCGCGGACCGAGGAACACGCGAAGAGGTCGCTTATACTGTCACACGTCCAGATGGACTGATCAGCAGTAACGCTCGACACTTTCGTAGAACAGCTCCTTCTCGGGACCGCACCGAGCCTTTACAGTGCGGCAAAGACGGCATGAGAGCGCTGCGCAACGGCGGAAGCGAGCTGGGAACATGAATCTGTCAGCTGCAATCGTGTTCTACAGTGGCCAACGCACCTTCCTCGGCCTTATACGTGCCGCGGCTCTCGCGCAACTCGATCTTCTCTTTCCGCTCGCGCTTCATCCGCTCCAGAAGGTCCGTGTCGTCGTCCGCCTCTAGCAACGCATGCGCCGGCGACGCCGCCATGGCCGGTGCAATCAGCAGCGCCACAGCCGCCATCGAGAACCCGCGCCGAGACACGTCAGCCGTCTCCGGCGTGCGCTGCTCGCAGTGCACTGCGAGGGATGCGCATCTAGGCGCGGCGACGGATACTGTTGCCGTAGATTGTGAGAGGGGTGCGGCGGATGCGAGCGAGGAGGACGCTGAGAGGGATGACACGGCGAAAGTGGCGCCGAGGGAGGAGGTCGCTGCAGCCATGATGACGTTGCGCGTCGAGTGAGGGTGGGCACGGTGATGTGTGAGAGTTGTGGAGAGGTGACGAATGCGTGGGGAGATAGATGGTGGAAGTTACAGTGCGAAGAATAAATAAGCGTCTGACCGGGAAGGGGAATGTGATGGCAGATTGATACCAATGATTTATTCAAGTCGTATGCACACTACGATTTGTGATAATACGAGATGGACGAGCCTCCCGCCTTGATATTGCCGAAATGCAACTGGAGCAGGAAGCTGCACAAGAAATCGTCGGGTTTCGTAGCGCCACGTAAGACTTGCTGCTGGTAACGCGAGGCTATTTGGCCTTCGACGTGGCTCGCGTTCATTCACGCAGGATGGATCTCAGCGCCACGGGAGAGACGCGATGCTCATCGAACGGATCAAGCTGGCCACCAGTAGCCTTGATGACGCTGACAAGATTTTGGTGCTTGACGCACAGGCTTCCAGCGAAAGGCACTAGCCACGTCGGAAATATTCGCCATCAGAACACTCGATAAGAACTCGGGACATAGCAGTAACATATTCTGGAATGAGCAATCAGCACGCAAAGAATACCGTACAGATGTAGTAAGAAATGTTAACGTCCTGGCATGGAAGCGGAGCCATAGGTACACGAAGTGGCTGGGCTGCGATGAATTAGTACCGCTCTGAACTCCCGAGCTATTGCGGGCCCAGGTAGGCAACTGGGCCCTGTTCTGTTGCCGCACCACTTGGTCCGTACCCCTCCGCACTGCACCAGTTTGATGCTTCTTCCGGGGTTCCACCGGAGATCCTGCGAGCTTCATTTATGAGGGCGTATTTCTTGATTCTAGGCTCGAGAAACTGAACCTCTTCCCGGACCTAACGAGTGCAGTGCAGTCCGTCCAGTCAAAAGAACGGTGAACCAACTGACGCACTCGTAATCCCCCACTCCCAGGCAAAATGGGTGCGGGACTGGTGCGGGCCTGGTTCTGGGTCAGAGGGGGGGATCAAGGCACCGCATCAAGTGGTGCGGCAGGATGCTGCGTTGCACCAATCGGGTCTGTTGTTTCGCGGAGGTTCCGGTGAACCATGTGATGCGGTGCTGTCCTGTCCGCCCCCGCATCAAGTGGTGCGGCAACAGAACACCGCCCTGATCTGTGGCATGGATGACAGAAGTTCAATAAGCAGAATAGCGACAGTTGGGTGGGGACTCCACAACTGTATCCCGTAGGTCGCCAATCCGTGCAGTTTGTCCCTTCCCCTCCTGCCGTCCTGTCATGGCCTGCTCCGAGTCGCACTCGCTCATTCGCGCCATCGAGGCCGCCTGCGCCGCGTCCCCTGCCGGCGCGGACCTTTTGGTGACGGCGTTTGTGCTCTCGCTGCAGTCATACCGCCGCCCGTCAGGTGCGCGCATGCCGTAAGAGAAAGGGGGAGGGACGCAGGGGGGCGTGAGGCAGCGAGGGGAAAGGCGGAGAAGAGCAGGGTGGGTGAGGGAGGAGGTGGTGGGTGCAGTGAGTGTGGGCATGGTCATGAAACGAGCACGTCGATGGAAGATTGCCTGGCCATGACTAGATGCTCCGTCTGCATGCAATCACCGCTCATCCCCTCCCTCACCGTCTCTTCCCCCCGCCCACCCATCGTCTCCTCCCCACTTTTCATCCCTCCCCCCAGTGTGTCGGCCCTTCCCCTCGTCGCTCTTCACGTTGCCCGGCCCGCTCCCCGACAAGGACTTCCCCGCCGCGCTGCGCTGCTGCGCGCTGCTGCCGCCCATCGCCGCCATCGCCAATTCTTCCCGCGCCCCCCCACCGTGCTGCCAGCCCCATGCCACGCACGCCCCCGCTGCTCATGCACCCTGTGCTGCCCGGGATGCTTCCCGTGCTGCTGCGTGTCCGTGCGCCTGCACACCTCCGCCCTGTGTGCGTGCATGTGGGTGCTCGCCAGCAGCAGCAGCGCCCCCATGGCACAGCAGCATGCCCGTGCCTGCCCTCCGCCTGCTGGCATGGGTCCTCTCGCCCCTCATGCCCTCCCCGCCCTCACTCGCCGCCGCTCCAGGCGCGAATACACCCACTCTCCACCATGCCGTCTCCCAGGACAAGCAGCAGCAGCAGCAGGATGGGCGTGCAGGGCAGCAGGGGGGTAGGCAGCTGGGGCGGTTGCATGTGGTGCAGGTGGGGGATGTGCAGGGCACGTTGGCCAAGGTGCTGACGTCATGGCAGATGGGCATGCTGACATCATCGCCAGCTGCAGCTGGGGGGCGCAATGTGTTGCCACAGTGCTTGGTGGAGGTGGGGCTTGGTGGAGGTGGGGCTTGGTGGAGGTGGGGCTTGGTGGAGGTTGCTTCTTTCCTCGTGTGCCTTGCATCTCCCTTGTGGTTGTTCATCCACACTGTGTGCCCGTGCACGTCTCTCAGCTTCCTGCATGCCTCATTCTCTTGCACCCATGCTCCCACTCTGTGCCCCTCTGCCTTGCGATGCCTCACTTGTCCGCCCCATTTCTTCCAGCTCGTGGGATCGTCGCCACCCACTGCCACTGCACATGGCCCGGTAGGGGCCACGGGTGCTGGAGGCATGGGAGGGGGCAGTGGCAGCAGCAGCGGCAATGGCAGTGGGGATGGGTTTGAGGCGATGGCGAGGGCGCATGGAAGCATCATGGCGTTCCACGGCACCCCATCGGAGAACATGCATGGCATCCTGCGCTGTGGTATTGATCCCCCACACACCGCTGCCCTGCCAATCCTTTCTCCACCACCACCACTCACTCGCATTCGCACAAAAGCCCCCACCTCCTCTTGTCCCATGCCCCTCACGTGCCCACTTCCTTTCTGTATCCTCAATGCCTTCCTGAGATGCCTCTGCCCCCGCCTCTGGCCTGCTCGAATATCTCCTTTGCGTTGATGACCGCACTTTGCACCCTCTCCTCGCCTCCCCGGCCCTGGCGCAGGGCTGTTGAACCTGTCGCGCACGGCACTGCAGCGCAATGGCAGCATGCACGGGGAGGGCATCTACCTCTCCACCGACCCCACCGTCGCCTTCACCTTCTCACAGACCGCCGACGCCACTCACGCACTCCCCTCCCTTGCCCCGCCTTCTCTTCCCCCCTCATCAAGCACCGGGCCGCTCTCCTCTGCCCTGGGTGGGTGGCAGTGGTCTGAGCTGGGTGCGGCACCGCGCTTTGTGCTGCTGTGTGAAGTCATCACAGGCCATGGCGTCAGATTCTCCGCCCCCTCACCTGTTGCTCCTGCTTGTGGGAAGGTGGAATCACAGCAAGGCGCAGAGAAGCAGGCTGTAGGAGAGAGGCAGCAGCAGCAGCTGGGCACATACGTGGTGGTGGAGAACCCTTGCATGCTGCGCATCCGCTACATCATGGTCTACACCACTGCCCCTGCTGCCACCCCTCCACTGCACCCCTCACCGCCCTTAGTTGCCGGGTCACCTGTGCAACACACTGTTCCGGCATCAGCATCAGCAGCAGCAGCAGCAGCGTTGCCATCACCAAGTGTCTCTCCTGGCTCCTCGTCAGTTCCATCAGTCCATGCAGGCTCACCCGCCTCAGTGTTAGATACTGCTGCTGCCTCCTCCACTCCTCAGCCGTCCTCCCTCCCCTGCACTCAGCATCGCTTGCTAGATAAACCCTCCTGTGCCGCGCACCTGGCTTCCTTGCCAGCTGCCACTGCTGCGTCTGGTGAAGCAGCATGTGTGCTGGACTCACGAGAGCGGGGCAGGGCGGAATGCGGAGGGCAGAGCTGTGGAGCGTGTGAGAGTGTGGTGTGTGGTGGCACGGGGATAGGCACACGTGCCATGGAAAGCCAGTCAGCAGCGCAGTGCTCTGGAATGCCAAGGGATGCAGGCACAGCAACAGGTGGGGCCGCAGGACCAGCTAGTGTGCTGAGGGAAGGCGTTTCGGCATTAAGTGAGGTGGTTGAGGGAGGCGAGGGGATGGGGAGAAGGGCTGGTGATGGGCTGGGGAGCAGAGACGTGAGGCAAGGCAATGCCGGTTCTGGTCAAGCGGTGCATGGCAGGGGCACATTTGCGCCAGGGAGAGAGGTGTGCAGGCGAGGGCATGGAGGGCGGCGTGACGCGTGTGTGAACCTGATGGCAGTGTACGCTATGCTGCTGCTGGCAGTCGGGCTGTTCAATTCGCGAGTGTTTTGGGTTCGCATCTGGCCTGTGCTTGAAGGGATTCTGGGCCAACAAGAAGAATTCTGACATTGCTTGTGGCGTAGAAGTAATCTATCTACCACAATATGAATGTGGGGCACGAGCTGGTCAGTGGGACACCTATCGATATTTGTATCATAGCGTTCACACCTAAGTGTGAGCTTTGGAGAGTGCAATTGCGCTTCTTTCTTCACTGTACATTGTATTATGTGATTATAAGTTTCATGTACCGTACTCTGCTGACACAACACGGGTTTATCCGAGAGGTAAGCTCGGAGATGCACACAGCAAGGTTGGCGGGAAACACAGGAACAGAAACCGAGGGTAGGAGTTGTTGGGATGTTTGTACTCTCCATTAAATTGTGGGTAGGAAGGTACGACATTGCGAGCGGCATCGGAATCTGCTGGTAATTGCAGCGTCGTCTGCGCAGGTGGAATGATCACACGCCCGACGCACGCGTAAATCCGGCACCTTGCGCGATTGCTGTGGTGGGAACTGTGATTTGAATGGGACATGGAGTCTACCAAGGGTAGAAAGGAACTGCTTACCGCCGGCAAGAAACGGGTGCGTGCGCCGGCCCTTGCAGCTCCTTGTATCGCCCTGCATTGACGCCTATCCGCCGTACCCCCATTCCCGTCAATTCGACATCACGCGTTGATCATCTTGTCTCATTCCCATTGCTGCTCGCGTCGGCCACTCCCTCACACCGCTGCGCGCATTAAATTCGCGCAGAAGCCATGTCAGCGACTGCAGTCGTGCATCCATGGACGTGTCTTGTAACCCAATCCGTGAATGATGCTTCTCCCTTGCCCTGTCGTGCGTGCGCTCGCCTCTCTTCCCCCGATCTCTGGCAGCTGGAGGAGTTTCGCAAGAAGCAGCAGCAGAAGCAGCAACATCAGCAGCAGCACGATCCGGCGGCCAAACCCGACGCAGTGGTCGACGTGTCCAGGGCGAGCGACGGAGCCCCCCTCGATCCATCGGACTCTGCTTCCGCAGCCAATGCTGCCGCATCTTCCGCATCCGCATCGCCAGCCATGGACGTCCCGCCATCTCTCGCGCCCGTGTCCGTCGATTTTGCGCCATCGGACGGCGAGGACGCGGCGGGCGACGGCGACTTCCAGACGCCCACGGGGTCGCCGTCCAGCGTGCGCAGCGGCGGCAGCAGCGGGCAGCGCACGGCGGCGCTGGTGGCGCGCAGCCGCGCGTTCGTGAGCATGGCGCAGGGCTTCATCGCGCAGGTGCGCGCATGGGGGGTAGTGGGGGGAACAGGGTGGCGCGGGGGCCGGGGCCAGGATGGTTGAGCGGATGGGGGAAGGAAATGTGGATGGGGGATGGGGAATGGAGTGGGGCTGGTGCTTGGGATATGTGCTTGTTGCATGTCGTGCCCCTCTGCAACCCACCCCCCCACTCCCCTCCCTATCCCCCCGCCCCGTTCCCCCTCCTGCCCCCTTCTCAAGCCTCGTCCTGACAGCATTTCTTTAACCACCATTCCTGGGAGGTTTGCCGTGTGCGCGTGTGTGCCGTGTGTGCCGTGTGTGCCGTGCGTGTGTGTGTGTGTGTGTGTGTGTGTGTGTGTGTGTGTGTGTGTGTGCGTGCATGTTGTCCCCACAGGCGGCGTTGGACAAGCCACAGAGGGACGCGCTAGAGGCGAAGCTGCAGGAGCTCAGGCACCACGCCGCCGAGCACCACGTGCCGCCCGCCAACGACGACGCCTCCCAGTCACTCTTTCCAGATGCTGACGTGGCAAGCCTTCAGGCGCGGCTGCAGGAGGCAGAGGCGGAGGCGCAGCGTATCAAGGCGGAGGCGGAGGCGGCGAAGGCAGCGGTGGGGGAGGCGCGCGCGGAGCAGAGCAAGGCGGAGGAGCGGGTGGGGGTGCTGCGGGAGAAGCTTCAGATGGCGATCAAGCGCGGCAAGGAGGCGGTGCAGCAGCGCGACTCGCTGCGCGAGGCCGTGGCGGGCAAGGAGCAGGCGCTGCAGGCGGCGGGCGGCGAGCTGGCGGCGGAGAAGGCGGCACACGCGGAGACGCGGGAGCGGCTGGCGCGGATGGAGGAGGAGCTGGCGGTGCGCATGGTGCGCGTGCAGCAGGAAATGATGGGCGAGATCGACGCCGCGGAGCGCAGGCGCGTGGCGGAGCAGGCGGCGCTGCGCGAGGAGCTGAGTGGCGCGGAGAGGCGCGCCAAGGAGGCGGAGCAGAAGGCGCGCGAGGTGGGGAAGAAGCTGGCGGCGTCGGAGATCAAGGGGCTGTCGCTCGAGGGCGACGCCAGCAAGGCCAAGACGCGCGCGGACGCTGCTGTGCGCCGGGAGAAGGAGGCGGAGGGAAAGCTGGCTGTTGCCTTGGGTGCGTGCTCCGCTGCCCGCCACGTGTGGCGCTGCATCCTCTTCTTGCCTCATCACCCTGCGTGCGCTCTCACTTCCCCCTCTCGTTCTCCCTGGTTCCACGCCTTCATGCTCTGCTCCTCTTATTGCCCTCTCAGCCTTCCGCGTTCCCTCCTGATGCGTGTGCCCGTGCATGCATATGTGTGTGCGCAGAGGAGCGCCGGGAGTTGGAGGCGCGGTTGGCAGCAGCGGAGGCGGCAGTGCGGCAGTCAGCGCAGCAGGGCGAGGAGGTGCGCGAGCGCCTGGCGTCCCTGCAGGCGCACATGCGCCCGCACCTCGCTGCGCTCTCCGCCAACCTCGCCTCCGCCCTCGCCGCTGCCACGGCGGCTGCTGGCGGCAGCAAGGACGCAGGCAGCAACGGCGCGGAGAGCGAGGGGGAGGGCGAGGGCGCGGTGGGGACGTGGGGCGGCATGGAGGCATGGGTGGACGACCGCATGGAAGGGCTGCTGGATGCAGCAGAGCGGGTGTCCGCGCAGGTGGCGCGGGGCGCGGGCGCGCGCGAGCAGGAGGTGCAGGAGCTGCGCGCGGAGGTGAGTCGCGCGGAGAAGGAGAAGGGCGAGGCGCGGGAGCGGCTGAGCAAGGCGATGACGATGGGGAAGAAGATGGAGAAGCAGAGAGACGAGCTTAAGACCAAGCTCAAGGACGCTCAGACGCAGCTCCTGCACCTCAGCGAGGGGCACTCAGGCACGGAGGGCCAGGAGGAGGCGGCGCAGCAGGTGAGGCGCGCGGAAGAGCAGGTGGTGGCGCTGACAGCAGCGGTGGCGAAGGCGCAGGGGGAGGCGCAGCAGGCGAAGGGAGAGGAGGAGCGCGCGCGGGAGGAGCTGGAGCGCGCTCAGGCGGCGATGGCGGAGGTACAGGGCGAGGCGGAAAGGGTGAGGCGCGAGTTGGAGGAGGCTGTGAGGCGCGCGGAGGAGCAGAGCGCGGAGTGGCAGGGCAAGGCGCAGGCAGGGCAGGCGCAGGCGGATGCGCTGGCGAAGGAGGTGGAGGGGATGCGCGCGGAGATGGGGAGGGCGGCGGAGGAGTGGAGTGAGCGAGTGCGTGTGCTGGAGTGCGAGGTGGGCGAGCTGCAGGCGCAGGTGCATGCTGCACGCGGGGAGGTGGAGGAGGCAAGGCAAGCAGCAGAGGAGCATGCTAGAGCTGTGCAGGCGAAGGTGGAGGAGATGGCTGCGGTGGAGCAAGAGGTGCAGCAGTTGCGAGAACAAGTGCAGGCAGGGCGAGACGATGCAGAGAAGCAGAGAGAGGAGGCGGCGGCTTTGGCGGAGCGAGCGGTTGCTTCAGAGGCCCGCGCAGAGGCTCTGGCGGAGGAGGGTGGGGCTGCCAAGGCCAGGGGTGACGCCCTGGAGGTAGACTTGGCGGAGCTGCGCGCACAGGTGGTGGAGGCGCGGGCGGCCGCGGAGAGTGCGCGAGGAGAGGTGCAGGCACTCCAGAGGGAGGCGGAGGGCGTGCAGGCGCGAGTGGACGAGGGCGAGCGGGACCGCGAGCAGCTGAGGGTTGTGGGCGAGGCAGAGGCGGCGGCGAGGGGGGCAGCGGAGGAGAAGGTGAGGAACCTGGAGGCGGAGGTGGCACGGCTGGTGGAGGAGGGGCGGGGGAGAGAGCAGGCGGTGGAGGAGGCAGTGCAGGCGCGGGAGAGAGCAGAGGGCGCGGTGGAGGCGGAGAGGGAGGCACGGCAGGAGGAGGTGGCACACAAGGAGAGGCAGTTGGTGGAGGAGCAGGGCGTGGCTGCACAGCTGAGAGCTGCACTGGCGGAGTCCGAGGTGAGATGCATGAAGGGGGCACATGTGGGGTGCGGAGGAGGCAGTGTGCACGGGGAAGTGGAGGCTCCCACTTGCGTTCACGCATGTACATCCAGTTTGCTCCACTAGCCCTGCCTGCAGGCCTGGCTTGAGGTCACCGTGGTGGGCTGTGAATACCTGGAGGTGTTAGAGTGGAGAGGCAGCCCAGGGGAGTGAAGCATGCTCGCTCTGTTGCCAGCCACACTTCTCTTCCGTTCTCCATGCGCGCATGCCTCTATTGCTCTGCTCGCCAGCCGACCCAAGTACTCATGTTCAGCATTCTTCTGCGTCTCATGCCCCTCCCATGCGTGTGGTGCAGGCACGGTTAGCGGAGATGGAGGCGCAGGTGGCGCGACTGCAGGCAGAGGCGGAGCAGCATGCAGCGGAGGCGCAGGCAGCAGGCAGCGGGCAGGAGGAAGCGGCTGGGCGGGTGGCAGCGCTGCAGGCGGAGGTGAAGGAGACAGCAGATGCCCTGGAGGCGATGAGCGCTCTCAAGGCAGCAGCAGACACGGCACTCAGTGAAGCAGTTGCTGAGGTAGAGGCTGCTAGGGAGCAGCATAGGGAGGCGCTGGGCGCAGTGGAGGCTGAGCGGGAGGAGGCGAAGGCGAGGGTAGTGGCGCTGGAGCAGGAGGTGGAGAGTGTGAGGCAGCAGGTGGGTGATGCACAGCAGGCTGCTGCTGCCACGGTTGCTGAGAGGGACGCGGCGAGGCGGGAGGCGGAGGGATTGAGGGAGGACGTGGAGCGGGCGAAGGCGACGGTGGAAGAGAGTGCGGCGGAAAGGGCGCGCGAGGTGCGGGCAATGACGGATAAGGCTGCTGAGGAGGAGGCGAGGAGGGTGGCAACGGAGCAGAGGCAGAGCGAGATGGAGCAGGAGGTGGTCGAGAGTGCAGCGCGCTTGAGAACGTTGCAGGAGGAGGTGGAGCGAGTGGAGGGGGAGAAGAAGCGCGCAGAGGAGAGGGTTGCCGAGATGGAGAGGCAGGTGGGGGAGATGGAGGAGAGCGTGCGGGCAGCGAGTGGCGAGGCGGAGGGCAAGCAGCAGGAGGTGGTGCGCTTGCAGGAGGAGCTGCGAGCAGTGCAGGAGGTGGTGGGGGCGAAGGAGAGGGAGATGGCAGAGGCGAGGCAGATGGCGAGTGATCTCAAGGAAGATCTGGGCAGGGAGAAGGAGAAGCGCGAGCAGGCTGAGGCGCAGGTTGAGGAGCTGAAGAAGGCGGGTGGCGGGCAGAGTGAGCGCGGTGGTGGGGAGGAGGTGGTACAGGAGCAGCAGGCGGTGGGCAAGGCGGAGAGGGGGCTGCGGATGCAGTTAGAGGAGAAGGAGAAGCACGTGGCACGGCTGAAGGAGCGCAACGACATGCTGGGTAGCGAGGTGAAGAAGCTCAAGGCGGAGATTGCCCGCCTGGAGGGCGAGGCGGGGGACAGGGGCGGGAAGAAGGGGAAGAAGGGTGGCGGAGGAGATGCGAAGGTGAGGGCGGAGAGGGATGCACTGCAGAAGCGCGTGAATGAGGCGGAGGGCGAGGTGAAGACGCTCAAGAAGCAGGTTGAGGCGAGCGAGGCAGCTTTGGCGAGGGCGGAAGCGGAGAGGGAGAGTGTGGTGGCTGCGGCTGTGAAGAAGGCGAGGGAGGAAGCAGAGCAGGCGAGGGAAGAGGCTGAGAGGCGCGTGAGCGAGGCGCAGAGCGAGGTGCAGGCGGTGAAGGTGCAGGTGACGGAGTTGGAGAGAGCTGTGGAGGAGGCAAAGGGGACGGCTGAGGAGGCGAGGAAGGAGACTGAGAGGGAGCGAGAGGCGGGTGAGCAGAGGTTGGGAGAAGTGCGGGAGGCTTTGGAAGAGGTGGAGAGAGAGAAGAAGGCAGTTGAGGAGAGGCTTGCAGAGGTGCAGGGAGAGGTGGCGAGGACAGGTGAGGTGGTGGAGGGGCTGCGAGAGGAGGTGCAGGCTGTGAGGAGGGAGATGGAGGCGAAAGAGACAGAGTGGGGGCGAGAGCGAGAGGTTGAGAGAGAGAAGGAGAAGGAGAGGGAGGCGGAACGAGAAGCAGAGAGAAAGGAGAGGGAGAAGGAGAAGGAAGAGGAAAGACGGCGGGTGGAGGAGGAGAAGGAGGTGGGGGTGAAGCAAGAGGTAGCAAAGGTGCAAGAGGAGGCGGACGCTAAACTACGGACGATGGAGGAGGAGAGGCAGCAGGCAGAGGCGTCATGGCGAGCAGAGGAGTCAGAGCTGAGGGCGCAGGTGGCAGCTCTGGAGGAGAAGGCACGAGAGCTGTGTGCGGAGGTCGAGCGGGTGAGGGGCGAGCATGCAAAGGACGTGGAGGAGCGGTGCCAGGCACAGGCAACGGTGGAGGCGAGCAGGGCCGCGCTGGAGGCAGAGGTGGCGAGGCTGCAGGAGCAGGTGGGAGCTGCTGCAACGATGGTGGAAGCAGGCTTGCAGGCGCGTGTGGAGGCGGAGCAGGCAGTGGTGAGACAGCTGCAAGCAGAGGTGGCAGGCTTACAGGAGGCGATTGCAGCGGTGCAGAAGGAGAGCGAGGCAGTGAAAGCTGCTGGTGCTGAAACGGGAGCAGAGAGAGACCGGTTGATGGAGGAGCGGGTTGAACTTGATGGGGCACTGAAGAAGCTCCATGGAGAAGTGACAGAGTTGAAGGAATCGGTTTTGGCTCTGGAGAGCGAGAGAGATACAGTGAAGGCTGCACTTGCTGCAGCAGAAGAGGAGAGGGAGAGAGTGAGAGAGGAGCGGGAGAGAGTGCAGATGGAGAAGGATGAACTGGAAGCAGCAGTGATGAGAGTGCAGGGCGAGGTGGAGGAAGCACGCAAGTCCATTGCGGCACTGGAGGTGGAATGTGGAGCTGCGAGGGACGCACAGAGAGCAGTGGCAGAGGAGAGGGACGCTGAGAAAGAGGAGAAGGGGCGACTGGAGGGCGCAGTGAAGGAGCTGGAGGGTCGGGTAGAGCAATTGACGGGGCAGCTGCAGGAGGCAGAGGGCGGGGCGGGCAAGGCACGGGCAGAGGCGGAGGCGGAGGCAGGGCGGTGGAAGGAGGAGGCGGAGAAGGCAGAGGCAGCGGTGGCGGCGGTGCGGGAGAAGCTGCACAAGGCGGTGCGCAAGGGCAAGGCCATGGAGGACGCAAAACTGACCGCTGAACGGACGGCAGAGGAGGAGAGGACACGGCTGCAGAAGGAGGTGCAGGCGAAGGAAGGCGAGGTGGTGGAATGCAGGCGACGGATAGGCGAGGTGGAGGCACTGCTGGAGGAGGAGAGGAGCCGGAGGATGGAGGGCGAGAGGCGAGGTGCTGCGATGGAGGGGCTTGAGGCACGGCTGAGCACAGCGGAGCGGGCGCTGGTGGCGAAGGAAGAGCAGTGTAGAGCATGGGAGGAGGAGAGGCGAGTAGTTAGTGAGGAGTGGGCGGGCAAGCAGGCAGCGTGGGAGAGGAGGGAAGGTGAGATTATGAGGGAGAAGGAATCGGTGGTGGAGCAGCTGCAGCAAGTGAGACAGAAGGCGGAGGACCTGAATGGCGAGGTGAAGCGCAAGGAGGAGGAGTGGCAGGCGGCACAGCGTGCATGCGATGAGGCAGAGAAGGGATGTGAGAAGCTGAGGGCGGAGGTTGAGGGGCTTCAGACCCAGGCAGCAGCTCTACAGGCCGCAGCGGCCGCTGCCACAGCGAGGGCTGAGGAGCTTGCAGCACAGAGTGCAGGGCAGGGGGATGGGCAGCATGGGGCGGCAGAGGCAGAGGTAGTGCAGCAGGCATTGCGGGATGCAGAGGAGCGCGTGCGGGAGAAGGAGCAGCAGGTGGAGCGGCTTGTGAGCGAGGTGCATGCTGCTGTGGCGGCGAGGGAGGCCGCTGAGACGAGTGCCGAGGAGCTGCGAGGCAAGGTGGTGGGTGCAGAGGCCAAGGTGGTGGAGCTGGAGGGGCAGCTGCAGCAGCTGCAACACACCAAGGCAGCGCCAGCAGGTGGGTAGTGCCACTGTTGCCATGCCGTTCGGTTGTGCTTATGCCCTGGTATTTTTTTTGCACATGCCGCATGACTCGACAATCTTCTCACTTGTCTTGCCACTATCCCTTTGTGCTCGCTCTATGCTCTTGTGATATTGGGTTTGGGATTTGTATGCATGGGACAGGCAATGGAACAGCAGACACACTACCCAACACAGCGGAGGCGAAGGGGGGAGGTGGCAAAGCGCCGGCGGGGGCGGACGCAGGGCGGTGGAAGGAGGAGGCGGCGAAGGCGGAGGCAGCGGTGGCGGCGGTGCGGGAGAAGCTGCACAAGGCGGTGCGCAAGGGCAAAGCCATGGAGGACGCTCGCCTGACCGCTGAACGGACGGTGGCGGCACTGCAGCAACAGCTGGAGGCGGCACAGGCCCAGGTGCAGGCGCTGCAGGGCGAGGTGCAGCAGCTGCAGGGCAGGGCAGGCACAGAGGCAGAAGAGAACGGGCGGTTGAGGGGCGAGGCGACGGCGCTTGAGAAAGAGGTGGGGGATTTGAAGGGTGCGGTGGAGCGAGCACAGCAGGAGACGAGCAGGGTGAGGGCGGAGGCAGAGCAGCAGGTGAGTGGTGCACAGGAGGAGTTGGCCACATGGAAGGTGCAGGTGGACGCAGCGGAGGCGGAGAGGAGGCGACTGGAGGACTTGGTGAAGGGCATGCAGGCGGAGAAGGAGGGGGAGGGGAGCCGCGGAGAGGGGGCGAGTGCACGGGTGGGCGAGCTGGAGGCAGAGGTGGGGCGGTTGAGGGAGGAGGTGAAGAAGAAGGAGGAGGAAGGGAAGAGGCGGGAGGAGAACATAAAGAAGAAGGCAGTGGAGAAGATGAGGAAGGCTGAGGAGGACGCCCGGAAGAAGGTGGAGCCTGAGGTGACTGCACTCAAGGCTGAGCTGGCTGCCGCCCAGGACAGGCTGGCTCAATCGCAGGCTGAGGTGGCGAAGGCAGTGGATGAGCTGGAGCAGGTTCGGCACGAGTCAAGAGAACTTCGTGAGAAGCTACAGGAGGTGGAGGGGAGGGAGGCGAGTGCATGCGGGAGAGTGGGGGTGTTGGAGGAGCGGGTGGGCGAGCTGGAGAGGGAGGCGCAGCAGCAGAGGCAGGCAGCAGAGGAGGCGATGGCGGCATGTGTGGCGGAGTGGCAGAGCAAGATGGAGGAGTCAGAGCGAGGCCGGGCCAGCAGCGCGCAGCAAGTGGTTGCACTGGAGCAAGGTAAGTGGCTGGGTGGTATTACGCTCCCGGCACCATTCCTATCACTCCCGATCAGATGTAACGGCCCACTCACCAACACCATGTGCCCTGCTTCGTTGGCAGCTCAGAAGCCCGTCCTATGCCCTGGGTCTCAGCCTTGTCGAGGTGCTATGGTTCCGTGTGCCCCACATGTCCACAGCTTCTCTGCATTGTTTCTAGGGCCATGCTGCCACTCACCATGAGTGCCCTCTCCCCATGACCTCAACCTGTGCCGCTTGCTCTGCTTGCTTTCTCTGTGTACCTCTCCTCCTCCGCCCTCCTGTAATCAGCACTGGCGCAGGAGCAGCAGCAGGCGGCGGCAGCAACGGAGCAGGCGGAGAGGTGGAGGGAGGAGAGTGAGAGGAGGGCAGTGGAGGGGCAGCGAGCGGAGGAGCGGAGAGTGGAGGCGGAGAAGGGCCTTGGTGCGGCCTCCCAGCGCGTGGAAGAGGTGGGCTCCTCTCACGTCCCCGTTCCACCCACACGTTCCGCACCTACCGCTGCCCTTGTGCTTCAGTACCACGTGCAGCATGCATGCGCCATGCCCGTCTCACCCCTGTGCTGCCACGCGTGCCTTTGTGTTTCCTGTGCCATGCGATTTCCTTGCACCCTTATCCCCCGTACCTTATTCCTCCCACCTCTGCACGCATGCAGGTGGAAGGGCAGTTGCAAAAGGCAAAGTTTGCCGTGCGGCAGTGGGAGGAGGAGAGGAGGCAGGCGAGAGAGGAGGTGCAGGTGCTCCAGGGGCAGGTGGAGGCACAGCAGGCTCAACTGGTGGAGGTCACAGCCAAACTCGACGCTGCCCTCGCTGCTGCTGCTGCTGCAGCTGGAGCAGGAGGCGAAGAGAGGCCTGCAGCTGGAGCAGGAGGCGAAGAGAGGCCTGCAGCTGGACTGGTGGTTACAGGGAGCAATGGTGGTGTGGAGAAGGCGCTGAGGGCGAGTGGAGCGACCACGGGTGCAGCACAGGTGGTGAGTGCTGGATGCCTTGCGCTCCGTTCGAATCTGTTGCTCTTCTGGAAGCTTCTTGTTCCATTATCTTTCCTCTTTCTGAATAAATCCTTGTGTGGCGCTTTTGTTTCTGCAGCAGCGTGAGGAGGAGCGGCACGAGCATGAGCAGCAGGTGGGGGCGGCAAAGGAGTTTGGGGGGGTGCAGGAGGGCATGGGTGACATAGAGGCGCGTGCACAGGCACTGCAGACAGAGAACGAGCAATTGAGGACAGAGAGGGATGCGATCAGGACAGAGAGGGATGAGATTAGAGCAGAGAGGGATGAGATTAGGGCGGAAAGGGATATGTTGATGGGTGAAAGAGATTTTATTGCTGGTGAAAGGGATGTGTTAATTGGTGAGAGGGACATGTTACTAGGTGAAAGGGATGTGCTGATTGGTGAAAGGGATGTGCTGGTTGGTGAAAGGGACGTGCTGATGAAGGAGAGAGATGCTTTAGCAGAGGAGAGGGAGCAGGTGTTGGTGCAGCGGGAGGGCCTGGTGGCGGAGAGGGAGGGGTTGATGGGCGAGATAGAGGCGCTGCTGGTGGAGAAGGGACACGCCAGTGGGGAGAGAGAGAAGCTGCTGCTGGCACTGGAGGAGCTGCGCCACTCCCTGGCTGCCTGCAGCGAGCACAGTGCCGAGACACAGAGGCGTGCAGGAGGGGGCATGGAGGCAGGCTCAGGGGAGTCGAGGTCGGAGACAGACGACAGTGTGAGTGTTCGGGGTGCAGGGCACTGTGCTTGCACTCAAGGGCTTGCACACATTCTTGTTAATTCCATGTGGTTGTGCGCCTTTGCTGGATGGCCTACAGTCCCTGCGCTTTTATCTTTTGGAGCAATCATTCTGTGCTCATTTCCCACCAACCTCTTTGTTTATGACACCATGTGCAGCACCGGCAGAGGGAGCAGCAGCCACGATCACAGGAGCCACCCAGGGACAACCGGGAGCGGGAGAGGGAGGGCGAGCGACCCGCGAAGCGGCCACCCCAGCCTGGCCCTGCCCACACCCCATTCTCGCCGCCTCTCGTCTCTCGTGCAGCCCCTTCCCCCGCTGTTGCCTCTGCCTCCACGGCCTCCCCTGCTGCGCTCCCCAGCAGCAACCTGCGCCCGCTCTCATCCTCCTCGTCCCCCTCAGCGGCGGCTGCTGGTGCAGCATCGGCAGCAGTCCATGTGGACATTGAGGCGGCCACACATGCACGGGGCGACGATGAAGGTGCTGTGCTGCCAGGGGACCCATGCGTGGCAGGCAACCAACCCTTAGCGTGGCAGTGCTTATGGGCGTAACATGCATCTCCTTGCTCTCTCTGCGGCTTATCCATGTTCCTCTCTCATCCCGCTCCTCCCTCGGCCGTTTCCTCTCTTTTTCTGACCTAGCTGCTCAGCCCTGCACTCTACGTTGGATGTAAGTCTGTGTGTGAACATACATCTTCTCCTGTCGCTCTTCTGTGCCCCCCCCAATGGGCCCCTGACCGTTGCAGTGCAAGGATTCACGCCCATAGTGACTGCCTTCCGCTCTCTACCTCGGCCCCTCAACTCGGCTGCTCGCACCATCGACCGTCTCTTGTACGCACTCCCGTCCTTGCCTCCCCCACATGCACTTCCGTGCCTCACCTCCTCCTCCGCCGCCTGCCCCATTCTCTACCCCCCTGCAATGATATTGCGTCACCTCCACTTCCCCATTCCCATCCCACTGCCCTGTCACCTGTATTCTACTCACTCCCCTTCAGCACCCGCTCATCCCATTCTATCCAGCATCCATACCCCACGTCCACTTGCCTGACCACTCCCCATGGTCGCCCGTGTGCCCCATGCGCCCTGCCACGTGTGCCGCCACCATGGGCAGTGTGTCAACGGGGCGAGTGCTCATGTCGCGGCCCCTCATGCGCATCGCTGTGGCCGCCTACTGGCTGCTGCTGCACGCCTGGCTGCTGCTGCTGCTCGCCACGGTGGGTTGCAACCACATGCTGCTTGGTGTATGGTGCATGGGGCATGCGTCATACGCACGGGCATGGATTAAGCTGTGGTGTGTGCTGCACGTTGCAGCTTGTAATATATCCAGAGTGCAGGTATCTTACAACCGGGTTGCCCAGTGATCTGCAAGCGCCACAGTAACTGTGTTGCAGTGCACGCACTGCTGTGCTGTTCCTCTCTTTCCTTCCCCACCAGCATCACATCTCGCTCACCATCTCCCTCGTTCCCCTCCTTCGTGTGCTGTCTCTTCCCCTTGTGTGTGCAGCCTCGCAGCGAGTTGGACATGCCATAGAGTGGCACTCCGTGGCCGCTCCCGCCCATGCCATGGCCAGCACTCGTGTGTTGCTCTCACTGCCACACGTGCCGCAGCACATCAACCGCTGGTGCGGCACACAAGCAGCTAGGGTCCATCACTCCCAACAGATTAAGGCTGCAAGTGACACAGACACCAACTTGACTTCTTATTCACTTGTAGATGTTGTAGGCATTGTTGTTTACCATGTTAGCAGATAAAGAAGTTATACGGGTACCGTACATTAGAAGATATGAAATTCATCATGGTTAAATATGAAGGGTTGGGTTTGGCAGAGGCACCACCACACCACCAAAGCTACTGGTTTCAGATTGAGTCTGTGAGGCACAATCATATTGACTTGGAAACCCAGGTGCAGCAGAGGATGCCTACATGGGAGCAGGGAGCGAGGCAAGGCGAAAGCCCACTCTCTTAGCGTCCACCACACTGCACGGCATCATGCCGCCACTGCCCTCCCCCACCGCTGCTGGCACTGCTGGGTGCAGGGGTTCCCGAGGCACCAGGGCCATGGGGGAGGCTGGTGCGAGGGATGGTGGGGCAGAGGCAGGCACGTGGGAGGGCGGGGAGGCGTCCACAGGGGTGAGGGGCATGCCCAGCTGCCGACACAGGGCCTGCACCTGCTCCTCTGAATCCTGGTGTGGAAAGAAGAAGGGTGGAGAGGGATGGATGGACATCAAGGGGGTGAATGGCCCACAGCATGAGGGTGGAGGTAGGAGTGAAGAGGAAGATTGAAGGTAGCTACAGGTGACAGTGGAGTGCGGCAAAAAGAGGGGCGGAGTAGAGAGTGGAGAGTGAAGGTTGGGGATAGGGAGCGGAGGCGCAACGGACCAAGAGGAGGAGCGGTACAAGGTGGTGCAGAGGGATGGGGTGCTGACGGTACCCTGCCGCATGCATTGCTTTAAGAAACACCGAGCGCAGCTGCAGAGATTGGGAAGAACGGGCATGGGGCGTTGGGAGGGTGGGGGACAGCGGACGAGGGAAACAGGTGGATGAGGGACGTGGGGACGTGAGTTGGTGCAGGGGTAACAGATTCTGTCATGCTGACATTAGTGGAGTGGTGTGTGAAAGAGAGCAGGACGATTCAGCAGGGATGGGTAGAGTAGAGCAGGGCAGAGCACAGACCGCAGTGAAGTGAAAGTGCAGCAGACACGCCTGAAGGTACGTAGCTCGCTGCCTCACAAGGCGGAAGAAGCGGATGGCGTTGTTTGTCCTGTAGCAACTGGACAAACGAAGCAAGTGTGGGAGAGAAGGATGGGTAAGTGCACTGGCCAGTGATGGGGAAATGGCTTCAACGCAACTCCAGCTGCTGACATCAAGGCCCCTTCTGCATCACCACCTAAAACCCTCACTGCAATCCCCCCATCTTTCTGCTCCCTCTCTTCTTCCACACCCTCTCGTTGCACCATGCTCTCCCAGGCCCACCATGTCTTGTACCCACCCGCCTTTCCCTGCCCCGTTCCTTTCCCCCATCGCCCTCCCCAACCCCCCATCACCCAGCAGGAGGGCGCACCGCAGCAGGGAGAGGGCGAGGCGCATGTGAGGGGAGCGCAGGAGGGAGGGGCGCAGGGAGGAGAGCATGGGCGCCAGGGACTCGCACGTGGGCATGTGCGAGTGAGGCGCCATGTGCAGTATCACATACAGCGACGTGAACTCTCCCTCCTCATCCTCCTCATCCTCCTCCTCCACCTCCTCCCCACCACCTCCACCACCAGCCTCCACCGCTGCCATTCCAGCTGTACTTCCCACCCGACCCCCCTCCAACGTCTTCTCCTCTCTCTCCTCCCAGCTCTCCACCGCTTTCTCCTCCTCGTTCCTCCCACCTGCTCCTGCCCCTTGCAGCGCTGCGCCTCTCGCTGCCCTCCTCACGCCCTGCGCATCTGCAACTGACCCCGAGTCATCGCCCCAGGTATCCACCGCCTCACCCCCCTCCACCCCACCGCCTTGGTCTGTGGCTGCTCCTGTGCACGTGCACACGCCACCGCTGCTGCTCGTGCCGCGTGTGGCGGTGCTGCTGCTGCTGCTGCTGGGTGCAGAGCTGCGTGCATGGGCAGAGGTGGCATGGTGGCGGCACGTGGAGAAGGCGAAGAGCAGGCTGCGCAGCGCCTCCGCCAGATGCTTCAGATTCAGATGCGCGTCAAACCGATGCACCGCTGACGGTGAGGGCGACGACGGGACACAGGTGGAAGTGATAGTGCCTCTCTTGCCTGCGCCTGATGCCACCTCCTCGCCTCTGCCCCCACCCTTCCCTCTCCACGCTGCACTGCTGCCCCCACCACTGCCACCCCTGCCTGTTGTGCCCGCAGCAGCAGTCCCTGCCTCTCGCGCGGCTGCAGGGGCTGCCTGGGGAGGGGCCGTGGCGAGCTCGTATGCTGCTGCTGCATGGAAGCGAACCTGTTATGGGGATGGGGATGGAAATGGGGATGGGACGAGAAAGAGGATGGTGATTTTCAGCCCAAAGCTCCCTCACTCCAAACACTTGTCGCTCCCCCCACCCCACCACTCTCCCCCCACACACAACGCACCATGGGTGCGAGCAGGTGCACGGCCTGGGCGCCGTGGATGCGTTGCATGGCCATGTCCTGCCGCATGCCGCGCATGCGGTCGCTCACAAACTCGTACACGCTCTCGCTCATGCGCCCCTCGCCCAGCACCACCGCCCCGCGCTCCGCGCCCCGCCCTCCGCCGTGGCCTGCGCCAGTCCCCTCCCCCCCAACGATGCGCACGAGGTGCGCCAGTGCGCGCATCAGCACTGCGGGCGGGCGGATCTCGTCGCGCGGCACAGCCACGCCGCCAGCGCCCAGGGTGCGGGAGAACTGGGGGGGGGGTCGGGGGAGAGGGTGCGGAACGGGGTTGAGATCGACAAGTATGGCGCGTGACTGGTGTATCGAGTAAGCGCGGGAGGCGAAGAGCGAAGAAGCGAGGAAGTCGGAGAGCGCGAGGGAAGAGGGGGCGAGGAGCGGAGGGCGGGGCGAGGCACCTTCTTAACGGCGAGCAGCGGCGACGTGCTGAAGGGGTCGTCGCGCCGTCGCTCGAACACCGCCAGGTCCCTCAGCCGCTCGCGCGCCGCGCGCTCCCTCGCTGCACGCCATTGCACACATGCGGGAGCAGAGGGGGAGGGGGGAGGGAACTGGGGATGATTTGGGGGAATTGGGCGATGGGGGAGTGGGACAAGGACGAGAGGGAGGTGGTGAGGGGACGACTGATGAGCGGAAGTCTAGGAAGGACAGACGGCGGAACGAGGTAAAAGGCGGGAGAGAGTGCGCGGCAGAGAAAGAAGAGAGGAGAGGGAACGAGAGAGCGAGCGAGCGAGCAGGCGGCGCTGTGCGTGGCCGGGGAGTGCGCGTGGACGCGCGGTATAGTGCGCGTGAGCGAGGGGCGCGCGCGCACCAGGGCACATGTCGGGGCACGTGCCCACACACTCGCTCGCAGCCCGCTCCCCCTCCTCCCCGCCCGCGCACTCCTCGACCTCCCCCACCACCCACAGCTGCTCGCGCGCCCGTTCCGCCCGTGCGTCTCCCGCATGGCTCGCTGCGCCGCCGTGCTGCGCGGTCGGGGCGCTTGCCACATACGCCGCACTCGTTTGGCCTAGCGACAGCGCTTGGCGCGCGGCACATGGCTTGAGCGGTGCGAGGGCGGACATGGGCGCGGAAAAGTAGGTAGGGGTTAGTACGTGCGCGAAGAGCAGAGCGAGAGGTGAGGGGAGGAACGAGGACGTGAAGAATGTGAGTGGCACAGAAATTGTGTACATCACTGTTCAACACAGGTGGGTGATGGAAACAAAAATGTCTCGGTGCGGTACGTTGCATCACGGTTTGGTACGATGCCCTCCCTTCAATCAGGTCAAATTGGTTTTCCCTCCACTCCACAAAATCCGCCCAGTTCGGCCCAGCAGGTCACAACGCATCACTGTAGTCGCCAAATCCGCCACCCCTCAACGCGCCACGCACTGTCAGGAGCCATCACCGCCACAATCACGCCGCCGCACGCGCTCCCGTGCCTCCGCGCCTCGCCGTGTCCGCCACTCTTCCACGCCCTTCCATCCCTCCGCCATCACACAATTCACCTCGCCTGCCCTCGCACGCCGTTCGAGTCTCTGCGCGTCACCCACTTGCGCCTCCGCCTCGCGCGCGCCGCTGCGCGATGGCGGAATTTGCGGAGCGTGTGGCGGACGCGGTGATGGCGCAGTACCGCGCGCTGCGCCCCAAGGGGAAGCCCCAGGCGCACGAGTACACGGCGCTCGCCGCCTTCGTCCTCGCGCGCTCCCCCGCCCCGCTTGCCGGTCAGTGCCGCTCCCACACCTCCTACCTCCGCCGACCGCTTTCCGCTCCGCCATCGCATGCGCACGTGGCTCCTCCCTTCTCCGTTCGCGCCACCTGCACGTCCCCTTGCTCGTTCCGCCGCCATCAGGTCGCCGCATTTGCGCCGCCGTTCCGCCGGTAGCTCACCGTGCGGTGCGCTCTTCCCCACGCCCCGCGCCCAGCAGGAGAGCCGCGTGTGGCGGCGTTAGCGACGGGGACCAAGTGCACGGGGGGGGACGCGCGGTCAGCGGCGGGCGACGGGGTGAGCGACTGCCACGCGGAGATCGTCGCTCGGCGCGCTCTGGTGAAGTGCGTGCGCGCGTGGCATGCTGCCTGCCCTCTGCGCACTCGCACCCACATGCTCTCATGCCCTCGCGTTCCCACAACTCACCCTCTCGCACTCTCTCATGCTGGGAGGGGGGGTGGCGGTGGGGAGGGGTTGATTGGGACGGGTGTGCTTGGGGGGGGAGGGAAGAATGGGGACCTGCGCTGGGGAGAGCGGGGGTTGATGTTGGTGGGGGGGTGAGTGAGCATGGTGGTGGCGTGCAGGTGGATGTATGCGTGCATTGAGCAGCTGCTGCATGCACGGCAGGGGCGCGCACGCACACAAGGCGAGGAGGGAGTGCGAGACACGGGGCTTGCTGAAGCTAATAGCGATAGCGCCGCAGATGGTGCCGCTGGTGGTGGCGCTGGTGGTGGCGCTGGTGGTGGCGCTGGTGGTGGCGCTGGTGGTGGCGCTGGTGGTGGCGCTGGTGGTGGCGCTGGTGGTGGTGGTGGGAGGAGGAGGAAGGGAAAGCGGGCATCAGGCGGAAAGGGAGGGGGAACCTCGGTGAATGCAGAGGACAACCCATTCATGCTGGTGGCGGGGTGTGGTGACGCACACAGTGGTGCAAGCCGCGAGCAGCAGGGGTGTGGGAGCAAGGGGCAGGAGCGTGGAGTGGTGGCGGTGGCATGGCGACCTGGCTTCCACCTGCACCTCTACTGCTCCCAGCTGCCCTGTGAGTCTGCGCCACATGCTCCTTCCGTGCCCCACCCATGCCCGTTCCGCCCATAGTGACAGCAAGGCATGGGGTAGCAGCAGCGTGGCAGCATGCAGTATTGTGGATGCGTCACACTGCCGAGGCCGCTCCTGTGATGCACACTCCCTTGAGTCCCCGCCTGTGGCAGGTGGCGATGCCTGCATTGTGGATGCTGCTGCGCCGCCACCACCACACCACCCATCAACGTCGCCTCCACTCGCCGCTGCTGCTGGGCCTTCGGCATCCACTGCTCTCGCGTCTGGTCGCTCTGAGGGGGACCTGGAGGAAGGGAGGCATGGGCGCAGGGAGGAAGGGGCGGATGGAAAGTGTGTGGATGAGGTGCCGGGAAGCACAGAGGCGGGCACGCCAAGGCCAGGTATGAACGGGTGCATGGATGCATGAATAGATGTTTGCTCATGGCATCACTCCATAGGCTCTTGTCGTCATGCTGGGCTGCACTGGGCACGGGAGGGAGGTGCTGCATGCACTTGCATGAAAGTCGCACCAGCATGCCCTTTCCAGCATGGACGATAAGCCATTTCGTATCATGCAGCTTGCCGCTCATCGCTCCACCACCTTGTTACGCCTCTCTTGGACCCGATCGCCTTCATCTTCACCTTTCCCCCCTCCCCCCGTTTCTTACTCCAACCCGCAACAACCCCATTTCTCCCACACCTCAACCCCCCACCCCCTCCCTGGGTGCGGCGTGCAGGCCCCAGCAGGCGGCTGGCAACAGGCGCCAAGGTCTTGCCTCCTCCGCCGCCCCTCGCCCCCTCCCATGACCACCGCTCCCCCGCTGCTCCCCCGGACGCTGCTGCTCATGCAGCCGTGGCATGTGGCAGCGGGGGGGCGAGGCAGCGGGAGCGCGAGGGTGGAGGGCAGCAGCAGGTGGTGGGAGTGGTGCGGCGCAAGCCGGGGCGGGGCGAGGCGACGCTGAGTGTGAGCTGCAGCGATAAGATGGCTCGCTGGAATGTGCTGGGCGTGCAGGGTGAGGGGGGAAGGAAGAGGAGGGGAGAGGGAAGGGGGGGCATACGTGGGGGCAGGGAAAAGGGCCCAGGAAATGGCAGCGGGTGTGGGAAAGGGGGGGCCGAAGGGGAAGGTGGGGGGTGATAAGCAGGGAAGGGAGCATGTGGATGAGGAATTGAAGTACCCATATGGCACCAGCAGCTGTCCGACTCGACTCCATGGCATGTCACATCCCCCTCTCCCCCCCACCTGCCACCCGTCCCCCCTTCTTTCCGGCATCAGGAGCCATGCTGAGTCACGTGGTGTGCGCGCCCGTGTACATCACGTCTGTGATCCTCGCTGCGCCCCCGCCTCCCCACTCCTCCCCGCTCTCCTGCCCCGTCTGCTCTCCCCAACGCCTCTGCCCATGCCTGGATGCACCAAAGGGAGGAGAGGGGGTTGATGGTGGGGAGTCAGGGAAGGGGGAGTGGGCGAGTGAGGCAGACGCGAGTGGCACGGGGGGGGTTGGCAGGGAGGGGTCGGTGGCTGGAGAGGGCTGGGTAGGTGAGGGCGAGGAAGGGGGGGCAGGAGGAGCAGGCGGAGGTGAGAGCAACAGCAGAGCTGGGAAGCAGGGGTGTGCATGTGTCTTGAGTGCGGTGAAGCGAGCACTTTGCTGGAGACTGGTGATGCCAGCAGCACATTGTGCAGGTGCAGAGAGCAGGGAGCATGGTGTGGTTGGCGAAACGTGCAAGGATGCTTGCACATGCGCCGGGAGGAACGGGAGTGCAGAATCGGCTGTGGATTGCCAGGAGTGTGCTTGCGGTGCGGGGAAGAGGAGGAGGAGGGACAGCAGCAGTTGGCCACACTACCATGTGCACCAGGTCATGCGTGCTTGCTTGCTGCTGGGTGCTTGCTGCCGGATGAATAGCAGCATGGTGATAGCAGCTTATCACATTGCTTCAGTTGTCCTAAATCTCTCAATGCCATCGCCATTCCACTCTGCTCCTAGTCTTAAGCCATCTCTCACACTCCTTCCACGCATCCCCCTTCTCTCCCTTACACTGTGTTCACACCCTCCCTCCTCTCGCCCCTCCCCTGTGGCCACAGCCTGTCATTCTGTGGGCACCGTCACCACCCTCGCAGCTGGCTCGCCAGCACGACTCACTCACTGCTGTCGCCTGCGGGTAACGCAACGCGCCTTTCAACCTCCCTGCATTGCACGTAATGCACCACCACCATCCCGCCATCACCACAGCCTTGTCTCTCGTCGTCACAGCGTTCCCTTCCCCCCTACCGCTCTCACTGCTGGCCCCACCACGCGTGCAGGTTCTCGCTGCTGTGGGATGCGGGGTCAGCGCAGCAGGAGGCGCTGATAGGCACGTGTGGGCGGCGCCAGGGCACTTCCACTCGGGGCGCTCTCTCGCCCTCCACCCGCTCCTCCATCTGCCGGTCTGCCTCTTATTACTTGCCACTTCAACTGCTCCCCCACTCTCCCATCTCTCACACCCTCTTCCTCTGCCCGTCGCAACTTCTCCCCTGATCTTGCACACCCTCTTCCCTTGCTCTTTGAACACTGCTGTGCTGTCAATCCTGGTTCAGTGGTGTGCCTGTGTGCCTGCCATACCAGTGAAGCGCATGTTAACCACACGTCCTCACATCCCATGTGCATGCCGTCCCTCACTGCCATGTCTCTCTGCCCTCCTGCCCGGCATATTCCCCCCCAGAGCATCGCTGCTGGCTCGCTTCAAGGCCCTCCTGCCATTCTTCCCGCACCACATCTCCCTCACCTCCTTGCCCTACCTGCACATCAAGGTCTGCCCCTCTCTGCCTTGCCTTGTGTCACGTGCCCTGGGAATCCGCCCACCCCATGCCTCATGTTCTCTACTTAGGTTAAACCCTTCTCATTGACCATCCTGCCTGGTGATTTACCTGGAACCCCTCCCTTTCCCCGCTTCTTCCACCCTCTCCACCCCCCTCACTCCCCCCAGAGGGCAGCAGCAGCCTATGAGCGTGCACGTGCAGCGTTCCATGCAGCCCCCTCTCCATTTCACGAGTGGATTGAGAAACCTCCGGTCTGGCAAATGTTCACATGAGCGAGCTTCAACTCAAGAGATATTAGCTTTACAATTAGTACCATCAAGACATTTGTAATGTAAACAACAGCGCATTGAGCTCAAGTTAGCACGTGCTAGTTTGTTCCAAGGACATGCAGCAAAGAGTTTGAAAGCCCAGGTTGACGCCCCTGCTTGCTTGCATGCTTGCCAGGCAGCACATGTGGAGGCAGCCGTTCCCACACAGCCCTTGCATGCTCCTCTTTCCGCACCATTGTCAACGCACTTTCTTGCTGCTGCCAAGCCTGATGCTGCTGAGGGCAGATGCAGAGGGGAGCGGGATGAGAGATGCAGTGAGTCCACACACGTGTAGGCTGGAGAGGAGAAACACTTGTGCAGTGTGGAGAGGCACAAACATGCGGGCAGGGGAAGGAACCAAGGGAATATAGCAGCAGGTCAATTGCACCATGTGACATGGGTACATGAGCAAGAGGCAGCGCACAACCCGTGGCGCACACCAAAGGCCGCTTCACCTGCCAGTCCCCGCAGGCACACTGCCCATGCCTTACCTCCCCACGCCTTTCCGCTTGTTCCCCTCCCCCTCCCCGTCTTTGCTGCCGCCTCCGCTCCCGTCCTGCATCAGCACCGTTGAGGGGAGGCAAAAGGGGAGGAGTGGAAAGAAGGAGAGCACGAGTGCGCGCATCTCTGCATGCATACATGGAAGTCCGTGTGCTCAAACGTGCATGCAAGTACTCACGCATCCTCAAAGGCACATTGCGCATGTTTGCTCACATGGTCAGGGCTTATGGCATAGGGTCCCGCAAAAGCGAGGTTGTGGAGGGAACGACGGTATGGATACATGAAGGTGAAGCAGGAGAATTAGGAAGCAGCAGCCAGAGCACCTCCTTGCCATGACCTCCAACCATTGTCACAGCCCTTGCCCCACCTGCTCCCCTGCCGTGCCTTGCCTCTCCTCCTCCTCTCGCTCCACTTTCTCTCCTGCTTCTGCTTCCTGCTTCGCCTTCCCACCCCCTGCCTCCTCCCCACCTCCCACTGTCACACGACCACTGTCATCACCACCATCCTCCTCCCCCTCCTCGCCTTCCGATTCCTCCGCATCATCTTCTGCCTCCTCCACCTCTCCACCTTCTATCCTCTTCGCCTCCGCATCCTCCTCCTCTCCCACCTCCTTGTCCTCCGCATGTTCCACGCCCTCCTGCTCCTCGGCGCTGCCACTCCCCCCCCACGCCTCCTTGCTCACGTCAAAATCGGCATCTTCCTCCTCCTTCGCATGAGGAGTGGGAGAGAGAGCAGGGGAAGGAGGCGGAGAAAAGTCATTGGAGTGAGAGGAGCGTGGGGGAGGAGGGAGGGACGGGGAAGAACGACTGGAGGGTGACAGGGAAGAAAGGTGACATGGATACTAGTAATTGGAGAAGAAAAGCTGGAGAGGGGACGAAGTGGGTAGACGTGGGGTGCGGAGTGGGGGAGCGGGGGAGCGCGCGAGCAGCACCTCTTGGAACACACTCTGCTCCCAAAACGCCTTGTCTCGCTCCACATCCTCCTCCGCTCGCTTGCTGCTCCTGCCATGCCACGCCACGCCATGCGCACTCACAGCAAGCGAAAAGATTAAGGCCGATGAGTCACATAGCAAGCACGACCCTCGCTCTCTTCACGTCCTCGCCCTTGCTGCCCTTGTTCTTCCCACTCCCCGCACCAACACCACCTCCACCACCCAACCCCGGTCGATCGAACGCACCATTTCCCCCGCGTTGATCGCGCCGGAAGTCGCCTCGCCATGGGTTCCTCTGCCATGCTTACCGCGCTCCCTCCCCTCCCCACCCTCCCCCTTCCCCCCCTGATCCGCGGGGTGTGATTCGCGCAAGGCGGGGAGAATGGCCAGAGAGCGTCACGCGGAGCAGTCAGGAGCGAAGACGCGGCGAGAGTCGAGAGGAGGGGAAGAACAAGAAGGGGTGCTAGATGAGTGTAAGACGGGTCATGGGAGCGACGGGCAACTGGTGCATCACTCGTACACCTATTTTGCAAAAACTTCACATCTCCAAACTCCGTTAACAAAAATATGTTTTTATAAAATCCATCTATACCCGATTGATTTTGTATTGTCTTGGCACTAATGTCTAGTGTCAACATGTGCAACGGTTAAAATCGGTTTCCAGCGTAATTGTCAGATCGGTTTCCCCGACTTTCGAAGGGGCGAAAGGACCATTGACATCGTCGGTTCACCCACCGCTCTTGGTTCCTTTCCAGCGCGCACGGTGGCATGGCTCCAAGCTTCCGTGGGGAAATTGCGACACCCATCAAGCATCTACCTAACAACCTATCCTTCGAACCGCCGAATAAGCCATATGAGATTCACCTATCAACAGGCCGACCTTGTTCTGCTCGTATCCTCCCTTCCTTGTGTTGACGCCGCGACATGCGTGGCAGCACCGAAATAGCAAGAACAAGGGCCTAGCGTTTGCAAAATTGCAAGAATAAGGGCCTAGTGTGTGCAAAATTGCAAGAACAAGGGCCTAGCGTGTGCAAAATAGCAAGAACAAGGGCCTAGCGTGTGCAAAATAGCAAGAACAAGGGACTAGCGTTTGCAAAATTGCAAGAACAAGGGCCTAGCATGTGCAATATAGCAAGAACAAGGGCCTAGCGTGTGCAAAATTGGAAGAACAAGGGCCTAGCGTGTGCAAAATAGCAAGAACAAGGGCCTAGCGTGTGCAAAACAGCAAGAACAAGGGCCTAGCGTGTGCAAAATTGGAAGAACAAGAACCTAGCGTGTGCAAAATAGCAAGAACAAGGGCCTAGCGTGTGCAAAATTGGAAGAACAAGGGTCTAGCGTGTGCAAATTTGGAAGAACAAGGGCTTAGCGTGTGCAAACTTGGAAGAACAAGGGCCTAGCGTGTGCAAAATTGGAATAACAAGGACATAGCGTGTGCAAAATACCAAGAACAAGGGCCAGGCGTGTGCAAAGTTTCAAGAGCAAGGGCCTAGCGTGTGCAAAATTGGAAGAACAAGGGCCTAGCGTGTGCAAAATTGGAAGAACAAGGGCCTAGCGTGTGCAAAATAGCAAGAACAAGGGCCTAGCGTGTGCAAAATTGCAAGAACAAGGGCCTAGCATGTGCACAATGGCAAGAACAAGGGCCTAGCATGTGCAAAATAGCAAGAACAGGGGCCTAGCATGTGCAAAATAGCAAGAACAAGGGCCTAGCGTGTGCAAAATTGCAAGAACAAGGGCCTAGCATGTGCAAAATTGGAAGAACAAGGGCCTATCGTTTGCACAAATGGAAGAACAAGAACATAGCGTGCGCAAAATAGCAAGAACAAGGGCCTAGCGTGTGCAAAATTGGAAGAACAAGGGCCTAGCGTGTGCAAAATTGGAAGAACAAGGGCCTAGCGTGTGCAAATTTGGAAGAACAAGGGCCTAGCGTGTGCAAAATAGCAAGAACAAGGGCCTAGCGTGTGCAAAATTGGAAGAACAAGGGCCTAGCGTGTGCAAATTTGGAAGAACAAGGGCCTAGCGTGTGCAAAATAGCAAGAACAAGGGCCTAGCGTGTGCAAAATTGGAATAACAAAGACATAGCGTGTGCAAAATAGCAAGAACAAGGGCCTAGCGTGTGCAAAATTTCAAGAGCAAGGGCCTAGCGTGTGCAAAATTGGAAGAACAAGGGCCTAGCATGTGCAAAATTGGAATAACAAGGACATAGCGTGTCCAAAAAAGCAAGAACAAGGGCCTAGCGTGTGCAAAATTGGAATAACAAGGACATAGCGTGTGCAAAATAGCAAGAACAAGGGCCTAGCGTGTACAAAATTTCAGATACAAAGGCCTAGCGTGTGAAAAATAGCAAGAACAAGGGCCTAGTGTGTGCAAAATTGGAAGAACAAGGGCCTAGCGTGTGCAGAATTGGAAGAACAAGGGCCTAGCGCGTGCAAAATAGCAAGAACAAGGGCCTAGCGTGTGCAAAATTGCAAGAACAAGGGCCTACATGTGCAAAATAGCAAGAACAATGACCTAGTGTGTGCAAAATTTCAAGAACAAGGGCCTAGCGTGTGCACAATTGCAAGAACAAGGGTCTAGGTGTGCAAAATTGCAAGAACAAGGGCATAGCGTGTGCAAAATTGCAAGAAGAAGGGCCTAGCATGTGCAAAATAGCAAGAACAAGGGCCTACCGTGTGCAAAATTTCAAGAACAAGGGCCTAGCGTGTGCAAAATTGGAAGAAAAAGTGCCTAGCGTGTGCAAAATAGCAAGAATAAGGACCTAGCATGTGCAAAATAGCAAGAACAAGGACCTAGTATGTGCAAAATTGGAAGAACAAGGGCCTAGCGTGTGCAAAATTGGAAGAACAACGGCATAGCGTGTGCAAAATAGCAAGAACAAGGGCCTGGCGTGTGCAAAATTTCAAGAACAAGGGCCTAGCTTGTGCAAAATTGGAAGAACAAGGGCCTAGCGTCTGCAAAATTGCAAGAACAAATGCCTAACGTGTGCAAAATAGCAAGAACAAGGGCCTTGAGAGTGCAAAATTGCAAGAACAAGGGCCTATCATGTGCAAAATAGCAAGAACAATGGCCTAGCGTGTGCAAAATTGCCAGAACAAGGGCCTGGCATGTGCAAAATTTCAAGAACAAGGGCCTAGCGTGTGCAAAATTGCAAGATCAAGGGCCTAGCATGTGCAATATAGCAAGAACAAGGGCCTAGCGTGTGCAAAATTGGAAGAACAAGGGCCTAGCGTGTGCAAAATAGCAAGAACAAGGGCCTAGCGTGTGCAAAATAGCAACAACAAGGGCCTAGCATGTGCAAAATTGGAAGAACAAGGGCCTAGCGTGTGCAAATTTGAAAGAACAAGGGCCTAGCGTGTGCAAAATAGCAAGAACATGGGCCTAGCGTGTGCAAAATTGGAAGAACAAGGGCCTAGCGTGTGCAAAATAGCAAGAAAAAGGGCCTAGCGTGTGCAAAATAGCAACAACAAGGGCCTAGCGTGTGCAAAATTGCAAGAATAAGGGCCTAGCGTGTGCGAAATTGGAAGAACAAGGGCCTAGCGTGTGCAAAATTGGAAGAACAAGGGCCTAGCGTGTGCAAAATGCGAAATTGGAAGAACAAGGGCCTAGCGTGTGCAAAATAGCAAGAACAAGGGCCTAGCGTGTGCAAAATTGGAAGAACAAGGGCCTAGCGCGTGCCAAGTAGCAAGAACTGGGGCCTAGCGTGTGCAAAATTTCAAGAACAAGGGCCTAGCGTGTGCAAAATTGCAAGAACAAGGTCCTAGAGTGTGCAAAAACTCGAGAAAAAGGGCCTAGTGTGTGCAAAATTTCAAGGAGAAGGGCCTAGCGTGTGCAAAATAGCAAGAACAAGGGCATGGCTTGTGCAAAATTGCAAGAACAAGGACCTAGCTTGTGCAAAATTGGAAGAACAAGGGCCTAGCGTATGCAAAGGAGTAAGAACAGGGGCCTAGCGTGTGCAAAATTTCAAGAACAAGGGACTAGCTTGTGCAAAATTTCAAGAACAAGGGCCTAGCGTGTGCAAAATAGCAAGAACAAGGGCCTAGCGTGTGCAAAATTGGAAAAACAAGGGCCTAGTATGTGCAAAGTAGCAAGAACAGGGGCCTAGCGTGTGCAAAATTTCAAGAGCAAGGGTCTAGCGTATGCAAAAGTACAAGAACAAGGTCCTAGCGTGTGCAAACATTCAAGAACAAGGGCCTAGCGTGTGCACAATTTCAAGGAGAAGGGCCTAGCGTGTGCAAAATAGCAAGAACAAGGGTATAGCGTGGGCAAAATTGGAAGAAGAAGGGCCTAGCGTGTGCAAAATTGGAAGAACAAGGGCCTAGCGTGTGCAAAATAGCAAGAACAAGGGCCTAGCGTGTGCGAAATAGCAATAACAAGGGCCTAGCGTGTGCAAAATGCGAAATTGGAAGAACAAGGGCCTAGCGTGTGCAAAATTGGAAAAACAAGGGCCTAGCGTGTGCTAAGTAGCAAGAACAGGGGCCTAGCGTGTGGAAAATTTCAAGAACAAGGGCCTAGCGTGTGCAAAAATTCAAGAACAAGGGCCTAGCGTGTGCAAAATTTCAAGGAGAAGGTCCTAGCGTGTGCAAAATTGCAAGAACAAGGGCCTAGCGTGTGCAAGATAGCAAGAACAAGGGCATGGCGTGTGCAAAATTGCAAGAACAAGGACTTAGCGTGTGCAAAATTGGAAGATCAAAGGCCTAGCGTGTGCAAAGTAGCAAGAGCAGGGGCCTAGCGTGTGCAAAATTTCAAGAACAAGGGCCTAGCGTGTGCAAAATTTCAAGAACAAGGGCCTAGCGTGTGCAAAATAGCAAGAACAAGGGCCTTGCGTGTGCAAAATTGGAAGAACAAGGGCCTAGCGTGTGCAAAGTAGCAAGAACAGGGGCCTAGCGTGTGCAAAATTGCAAGAACAAGGTCCTAGCGTGTGCAAAAATTCAAGAACAAGGGCCTAGCGTGTGCAAAATAGCAAGAACAAGGGCCTAGCGTGTGCAAAATTGGAATAACAAGGACATAGTGTGTGCAAAATAGCAAGAACAAGGGCCTAGCGTGTGCAAAATTTCAAGAGCAAGGGCCTAGCGT